AATTCCAAGAGAACCCCAGGCAGAGCTGTTTCTGCGTTTGGGAGACATCCTGTGGCCGCTGCAGACACTGCACCGTCCCTCTGCAGCTCGCCTTGCCGTGCAGAAGGGACCGACCATCCATCCATCCATCCATCCATCCATCCATCCATCCATCCATCCATCCATCCATCCATCCATCCATCCATCCATCCATCCATCCCCCGACATTTCAGCGGGTACCCCCCAGCACCAGCCCCTGCTCCTCTGGGCACCACAGACACAGGACCATTCTAACATTGCCCCCAAGCTCCCATCAGCGTGGTTTTCCCATCCATGTGGAAACACGTGTGAAAACACTTCATTTCATGCCTTTTGACTGTGAGGGAGAAAATTATTCCATGCTTAGAAACTTTGCTGTTTGCTGCTGTTTGTGGTGCTTGCGCTGAGGTCTCAGCAAGAGGCACCTCCAAGCAAAGAGGATTTTACCTCGAGACAGGCAAATGATTGAAAACCATTTGATTGTAACGCCAGAAGAATTTTACTTTCTGATTTTGCATCCCCATATGTTTTAACAGAATTATTTTCGTGGTGAGGTATTTTGTTATCTGATTTTATTCACCTAATACATTCAATGTGATCAGCAACTACAAGGAAACACAAACTGTACAAATATTTTGGTTTTATGCCCTGATTTTTTTAAAGGATGTTAAATGATAACATAAGGGTATAAATGGAATGAGAACTGCAACATTTCTATGCCTTGAAATTCCATGCTGTGGTTCCCACAGCAACCATAACCATGGCCACTTCTCATGGATTTTGCATCCAAGTCTGAACACACTGTTCCAAGTGCTCAACACACATAAGCAAAAACCAAGAAAAAGCATTTTTTTTTCCTGCAATAATGATCTTACCTGCTAAGTCACAACCACTACAAGGTGTTAATGGCACTCGTCGGTGAAGGTGAACTCCCAACAGCTGACAATTAATGCCCTGAATGTGGTTTCTGTGCAGAGATACTTGCAGGATTCATAGTGTTGGCATTGACGCCCTTCTGTTTTCTGTTATTGCTGGAACAAGAGCCTGTGGTTTGTATCAAAGGTTAAAGCATTCTTAGAAGGCTAAAAGAGAACAGTTAAGGGTCTTTCAAATTCTTTTATTTCGAATACCAAACTGTTTCAACTTCAGAAGCACTGAGTGGTCAAGAGACTGTTCCTCCACGGTTTTGCTCATTTTATCCAGCCCCTTTGCTTGCAGGCAGTACCTGGTAGTGCACTAAAAAGAGACTGGCAGAAACAGGAAAACCATCAAGTTATCCAAGTAAGTTTACTCGTTTGGCTTTTTCTGTTAAGTTTGCCAGAAGTAAGGAGCACAGAGCACAGAGACAGCAACTCCTATATCCCCCTTGTTCTTGTTTTTCTTTAAGCATTTACTGCTAGTGCAATGCAGGACTCTGATTGGTCTTGGGTATGAAAAAGTTGAACTTCCAAAAAATTACTAATTTCTCTAGGTTGAACTTTATTCAAAGCTCATGCCGCTTTGCTGGATAAGTTTATTCTCTGAAGTGATGGAGTAATTGTCAATGGTGAAATCAATGAAATAATTCACTGCTACTGGAGGGGGAAAAGCTCCACTTCATCAGGGATTTAATTGGTGGCACCAGTAACCTGTAATAACATGAGCCTGTCTTGACTGGAAAGCTCCAGAACTTTTCTAGGAAAATTTACAGAAATGAGATTGTATGGACAGTTACAAGTCTACATATCTAAAATTAAATGTTAATCCACAGTGGTACCAGCTTTCCAAAACTGTATTTATTCCTAAACATCTGCAGTGTAAATGAGAAACGAAAATTTTACATTAGCATGACCCCCCCCACCCCAGATGGCAGAAATACCATCGACTACTGAAATGCTCTAAATATTTAACACTTTAGGTTACTAAGAAAAGATGTGGTCTTTGATAGCACAGCCAGAAACACCCAACCAGCCTCCCCCTGAAATACAGAGAGTGGCACTGGCTCAAGGGGCCTCTGCCCACAGCAGGGGGTTCCCGAGCCCTTTAGGGACAGTGACCAGGGTGACAGAGCAGATTCCAAGCCCGAGGGCTGGGCACACACTGCTGCTCCAGACCAGGGCTGCACAGGGACAACAGCTCTCTGGGCTGGCTGCAGGCCTAACTAAATTGCAATCCACAACATGGTCTGTGACACAGCAGCTGTGGCAAACACTGATTAAAAGCCTCTACACATTGTCCCAACGGGCCCATGTATAGCTGAGTTTTTAACTGAATTGGAGAGAGCTCCTATTTAAATTCCAGATATGCCACAGTCCTTCCATATGACTGGGAGGACTACTAAACCCTGCACTTCATTTCTGCAACATAAAATGTGTGGGTATTAATTCCATATTTTTATAAATAATCTAATAATCTTGACACAAACTTCCGTAATTAAAAAAATAGGATACAGTATCTTGCTATATTTGATCTTGAAGCCTCACGGTAATTCAAGAGAAAAAGCTAAACCATGTCCTAATCTGTATTATAAATCTTTAAATCCACAAAGATTGGACCAGATGCTGTAGCTTGAACAGAAGTAAGTGTGCAAAACACTTAGCCCAGCAGGACTAGCTGTTCTTCCAGCCTACTTCTCAACATGGTCAAGGACCTCAGGTCTTGTAAAGAGGTCAAATACACTGAAGTGTTTCAGAAATCCTAAGTACAGGGAAGGTTTGCATAAGAAAAAGTGTATCTGAACTTGTTCCTGCTCAGTGTTCATTGGTTTATGTATGTATCTTCAAATGCTTTTACTTAATGAAGTAAAACCCCACAACCCAAACTCTTAATACATTTTTCTCTGCCAGATCCAGCAATCAAGACACCTTCAGTGCTGGCTGACACAGGTTTCAGTGATGCAAACCTTCAGTCATGAGCCCATTACAATCAACCCCCAACGCATCATTGGAGCACACAGCCCAGACACCAGTCATGTCATTAAATAAAAATACTTTCCATTGCTGTTCACGTGCCTCAAAGCACTGAGATCTGCTGCTGCCTCCTCACCACACACTGACCTCTGATTATTTTTAAAACTTGCCCCTTAAGGTGAGAAAAACCAGCTGTAGTTCTGCAGAGTCCCATCAGCAGTGGTGTCTGCAAGCCTACAGAGATTCCCAAGAAATACAAGCAGGTAAAAATCCTGTGTTGGGGAAGCAGTTCATCTTTGGTTCCAAGAGCTGAAGAAAGAATTTTCCTTCCCAGGCAGCTCCCAGAGGCTTGAACACCAAGCATGCAGGGTGCTAAATATTCTCATAACTCAGTAATTTTACAAGGCATTTGGGGAAGAAGCTGTTAAAAACCTTTTTCTGATTATAGTAAGTGATTTTTTAAATACCTCAAATAAAGATTTACTCTGAGAGAACCTTTTGAGAACACTTTAAGAAAAAATACCGAAGTACAAACTTTAAATATCCAAAGTATGATAGTGGTGCACTTTTTAGAAACACTTACATACTTAACAGGTGAAGTAGGAAGAGAGTATTTCAGAAAACATTTAATATGAAACCTTTTGGAACTTCCATCGAATACAGATTTACATAATTTATCAGAACACTTTCAGTTCAGACAACAAAGTGCACTGCCAGGTGAAAAAAATACATTTGGAGGAGTGCTTAAAACGTAGGGAGTGAAAGGATAGGTGACCATTCACCTGAGAAAGTACAATGACTGCCCTGAAATGTCTTATTGCTATTACAAAATGGAGTTTTCATGGAAAAAACCCATACTGAGCAGCACAGGCATGGGCAGAGCACTGAAAGCCAACTGAACTCCGGGAGCACCCGGAGTTCTCAAGCCATGGCATGATACAGAATATACAGAGAATAAAATGCAAATTCAGGAATATTTACTACATTTAACAACTATGATTACCCTTTAAACTAGCATAATCGATATCAATGCTTAGGGGGAAAGAGAGGGGAAGTCTGCTGCCTTCACAGACTACAGATCACAAGAGCTAACTTGCAAAATATGAAGGACTTTGCATTTTCACCTCGGGTCAAATCTGAACTGTGTACTATGAGTAACTATTAGCTCACTGCAAATTTAAAATGCAAATTTAGGCTCCAGTTTAAAGCACATGTTAAGTACATGCGTAAGTGCTTCACTGAAATATAACCACAAAACATTAATACAAAAAGTCAAGTAGATAATGCAGGGTATTATCTACACAGGTCCTCGATGAAATAAACTGAGTATCGGTAGGAAACAATGCATGAAGAGATCTCTTCATTCTGGTTTGCAAAATCAAATCCGTTTCACCGCCGTGATGGTTAAAGAGTGGGGGCTATCCCAGAGCAGCTTCACGTCCTACCAAAAGCTACTTGGCCATCAGAGTTCATCAGGGTTCCACCCTGCACGGGGACAGGGGACAGTGGCCTCCCTCGGCAGAGACACTGGCACAGAGCCATCCAAAGCAACACAACGGAGCCAAGGGAAGCACGCTGGGAGAGAGCTGCAAGGAAAAGCTTCAGCTGCTCCTGCCTATGGCTGTAGCTCAGCAAGCTGGACGTTTGGACAGAGGAGATCAGTAGCCAATATTTGATTGCCACTTCTGGGTTCCAATGCTGAGGGTGCCCAGAAGGTGAGGGCAGCACTGCCCAACGTGCAGCAAGGCCTCGGAACACATGGACTGGACGTGGCTTGCGGCAGAGAATGGCCAAGATTTGAGAGTCCCTTTGTGCTTTGTATCAGCCTGACCTAGTCTAACATGGCAAACTCGCTCTGAAACAAAACCACTACTCAGCAATTAGCACCTCCTTTCACACTGCCTCATTCCCTAGAGGAACAACAGAGAAATGTTCTTAGCTGCAATCAATACTCATAAGCCAAAAGGACAAAGATACAGTTTTAGTAGTTTAGCAGAAGCAGAAGAATGGAAGCGTTTACCCAAATATTAATGCACAAATTAACTACAGTATTAAAATTGGATTCAGACTTAAATAATAAATAGGTGGGCAAAATATAATGCAAGACTTACTCAGTAAAAGTGAATTTTTAATCATCTCATGAGATCTACTTAGAAAACAGGACTAATAATGTTCACAACCATAAATCCAAACTCTTCACACACTTTTTTCTTCTTAACACAGCAGTGAACTGTAAACCTGCATTCACTGGTTTATCGCTTCAGTCTTTTTAAATATTAACTCAAGTGTTTCCTCCTTGGCCATTTCAATTTTTAGCACCAAAATTAGCCCAAAAAGAGGTACTGGTACAGCTCGATGTTGTAAATGAATTGTTTACATATAATACTTTATATATTATACACACATACTGTACATTCACACATCCACACAAACAGGAGGCATATTTAAATGAATATATTCTGTGTTTCAATTTGTTGTCAGAGACTTAGGAGCAATGGAAATAAAGCAGAAGGGGTAATATTTTACATAGTAGGCAACTTTAATGCTGTAGTGCACTTATAAAAAAGTCCAACTCTCCCTCCCAGCTCAGCAGCTTTTTTTTTAATATCACTATTCAGAAGGATGCAGAAGTTATTGCCTAAATGTTATTCTATACATTTCCATCGGAATTCTCAAAAACACTTTAAATTGCTAACTAATTTACAACTTAACTATTTTTTTCTTGTTACAGCTTTAACTCATTGGCAATTTTGGAAGCAATGTTTTTGAAAGCTATGGATGTTCCCGATATCCGCTTAAAGCGAACTCCATTCAGGGACAGTCTTGGCAGTTTACACACCTCCATCTCCCACTGGACAAGGTTTTCCGCGTGCCCATCTCCATGGACACAGAAAAGCAAGAAACGCTCTCTTTGTTCATAGTCACAATTATTGGCATCCAGGACCTTTCGGATTTCCCTCATCATGTCATTGGGATCCATGGAGCTGGTGGTTTTCATGCTCCAGGTAAAACGCAGTGACCGAGGCTTGGCTTCCTTGTTCTCGTCCTTCTGATCCACAGCTACATTGCGGCTGAAAGACAGGAATTTGGGAGTGAGCAGGGCCAGCCACCCTCCCCAGGGGCCACATTAGTGAAGCCAACACTCACTGCACACCACCCAGATTAGAGCAGCCCCGGGGGCTCCCCCAGCTTCTGTACACACACACAGAGTCAGGGGAAAGCTGTAGCTGCTGGGGCTGGAACACAGGTATGGCACGAGGTGTGACACAACTGGCACTCACTGGATTCAGGAGTGTGAGGGCAGTGACCTTCTTGGAGGCAGAACTATATGCAGCACCTGTGACTTGATTTTAAGACAGGTTCTGCTCAAAACTGTTCTCTCACAGGCTATGTGGGCAGCTGAAACATCAGCTCTGTGCTAGAAGTTTCTGGAACATTGAAATAACAGCCCCCTGTGGCAGGAGGGTGCTCAGCCCAGGCCATGGGAGGTGCCCACTTACATGGGATGGGGTGAGCCCATGCACAAAGGTGGGCTCCTCGGCACCTCCTCCTGAGCAGCAGCCCTGGGAGGGCCTGTGGAGCCCCACAGCAGCTGGCTGCAAGCATTAGGAAGGACAGCAGGACCAGGGTGACCATGAGGCCCCAGACCTGGCTCAGTTATGCTCTAGCTTTCCTGTACTGGGGTGTGTTTGAGATGACCCCCTAGGGACACCCCACGCTGCAGGCTCTGGGGGCTGCCTCAGAGAGGAGGTGCTTCCTCCTAAGTTGGTTGGTAATTCATTAAATACCAACCACTGGCAGAAGTAAAATGATGAAATCTTCTGCAGCTACAAGTTCTGCAGTTAAGTGCCTCTGAGGGGGACGTGCATAAAGAGAGCTGGAAGTGATTATTAGACACTCTTCAATATAGTTTGCACAGATGGTGAGAGGGTACCATTATTGTTACAGTTTGAAGAGATGAAGCACAAAATACTGAGGTATTCCCAAACCTGGAATTTTTTTTTTTAAGCTTTCTTTTGGTATGGATAAGTGGGGTTAAACAGGACAAAGGAAAGAAATGTTCCAGAAATTTCTAGTTCGCAATCATTCTTCTACTTCAATTAAAATCAGTAGTCATGCAGCTAAAGAATAAGGAAGTACATTTGGACCTCCATGGGTAAAATATGGATTTGCTTTGTGAATATTTGTACGCTGTCAGTCACCTCGTCAAATTTAATTAAATGTATTGACTGTCATACTTAACTGTTTTCTGGAAATAGCTAACCTAACTGAACCCCAACCATGCAGTTTAGGTCTCATATTGAGCCTCTATATTAAGCCAAGCTGCTCTTTGAAATAGATGGCAATGGTTACATCACATTTTATTTCTACTACCATTAAGCAGGCAATTATGAAAAAGTTAAATAAAAAGTGATAGCAAGGCCACAACTAAATAAATATATTTCTCAAATATAACCTATTTCATAATTCTCCTATTAAAAGACTTCATGTGACTGTGAGAGTCATAAGACTATGCAATGTGATTTACCAGATGTTATAAAATTCATCACACAAATTGAAGAGTATTCCGTTTAAGATTTTAATGTAATAAGGCTTTAAAGGGCTAGAAAACAAACCCAACTTATATTCAATGCTCATTTTATTTTTGGAAACTTTTTCTACTTGAAAACAGTTGGCAAAACCAGCAGTTTGATAATTTCTAATATGTTTTTGATACGCTGGTTTTGGAAGAAGAGTATAACATGAAGAATATTTAACTACGTGTGATTTTGGAGATGAGAAATATCTTATCACCCTTCAGTGGTTATTCCACACATTTGCAGCCTCACTAGAGACCACTTATCTACACATCTACACGACAACAGCAAATTACAATGACTAAAATGCAAAAAAAAAGAAAAACCACACAAGGGAAAGGGCAACAGGAAAGATGAAAGTTTAGAACCAAGTCAGTCAGTGCTTTAATAGCTGTTTTGCAGACAGAAATGCTTCTTTGTTTAGTTCCAATGACTTACATGAAACAAAAGCTGCTGCCTGAAGCCACTATGCCACATAATCAAGGGGAGAAAGGTTCAAACTCACCTAAGTAACATTTTAAACAAAAGTTTTACCCTCACCTTGAGCCCTCAAATCTCCCGTTCCTCTCATATTCAGTCGGGAGCCTCAATGAAAAGAATGCAGAAGCAAAAGGAAGTGGGAAAGAGAAGACAAATCTTACACTACAATATATAATACCTGAGTAGTTGCTAAGAGATACTGCAATCATACCAAAGGTGTCTTAAAATACAAAACAACAAAGATGTAAAGAACTTGGTAGGTTAGGCCAAACTCAGAATGTAACATACTGTCAAACCAAATGGAAGTCTATAAACTACAGTTTTTAAATCGACCATAACTAATTTTAAGAGTATGTGTTTATACATTAAATCTGTAGAACTCACTGAATAAATCTGAAGTTCTAAAAGCAGAAAATGTGAAACTAAAGTTACAAAGCATATTGAAGTGACTGTATTATTTACTAAGTACCTCCTGAAAGAGAAATAGCTCCCAAATATTTTTAGGCTAAATATTTTTAGGTTATTTAAAAGTTTTATCTGGAATGAAGTATATATTTTAAAAAATCCCCTTAACTATTTACAGACAAGTCTGATCATCTAGTATATTTGCATTGCTCATCAGATCTGAGGTGTTCAAACAATACCAAAGTATCTTAATGCAAAAGAAGAAGATGCATATACATTTTAGCAGAATTTTAATAGGTAAATCCAAGATTTCTCAAGCTGTGGTAACTCCATCCTATTATTTCCCACACTGATGCATCTTCCCCATCCAACAACAAGCTTAAGCTTTCTGTCTTCTTGCAGTGCTTAAGGCTAAATTGCTGGTCACTACCATTCATTGAAAGCTCAGGGTCAAGAAGAATTAAGGGGAAAATTCTCTCTCTCTGAAGAGGATGGTTCAACATATCAGCATTAGCTCTGCTCAGAGGGATGCTGCTGTACACTGCTTTAATCCAGACTAAGGCAGTACATGGCTTCCCTGAGTAACACAAACACAGCAGTTTGGGTGGCAGATGTCTAGAGACAGGGATGTAAGACAGTAACCTTATTTTCTGATGCAGAGTGCTATTTATATCAGGGTGTGTGGGGTGTTACAAGGAGTGATTTCCTCCTTTCCTTCCTTTTGAGAGCTGTGGTGAGGGATCAGCCTTGCAAGGTGACTCGGGCAGTCCCTTCCATAGGGGACCAGGAGCTGTCCTGGCACTGTGAGGAGCAGAGTGGCAGCACGGGCCACAGAACCAGCCCAGATTCAACTCAGGTGCTACTGCAAAGCAACTGCACCTAACAGGGTGCAAAGCTGCTCAGCTGAGAGCTGCTGCTCACAGCAGCATCTGATGACAACCGTGCTCTCTGAGGTACCACACAGCTCCCTGTACAACAGGGACAATGTCACTGGCAACAGCTGCCACAAACAAAAATCACAGAAAAAAAATGAGAAGATGATTAGAAATCCCAGTGCAAAGTGGGCAGTTATTGTAGTTATTTTCATTAGATCTCGTGCTACTAATCTATGGTGGATATAAGAGAAGGTGGAAATCGATTTTCCATGCCTGTACATACAATCCATGAAGTCATGCTCTATGAGAGCTCTACAGGACCCAAAAAAGGGGTAGGTAGGAACCACCACATGTACCAACTGAACAGATCCTCCCCTCACAGATGATTGTTTTACTGGGCAAAGCAACCAACAAGTTAGAAAACACTCCTCAACTGAAAAATTAAGAGTACTTAAACTTCAAAGAGCCTTCTATGTTCCTATGAAGTGGAAGGTGGCAGCTTTAAGAGCTGCAAACATTTATGGATTTTTGTTGGGTTTTTTGTGTTTTGTTCTGAAACTTGCCAAAGGTTGTGGAAAATGGGAGCACAACCAGTTTCCCCAGCAATGAATAGCCTTGCTGTTGCTGGAATCTGCCCAGAAAAGTCTGTAAGGAAAAATCCCTAATGATGTTCTGACACATTTTTCAGTTTGAAATTAAGCCAAAGTGTTCAGTTTGTAAACCACTACAACTCTGAATCTAAGAAAGGTCATTATTTCGAATATACCTGCCACTTTGAAATAATAAACATTCTCATGGGAGCCTCTCAGAAAACCCTCACTTTGCTCAGCTTTTCCATGCATCAACATTCCCTTCACTGAGCAGGAGGAACTGCATAAAGTGACACACAACCTCAAATGTGAACTATCCTGCCAAACTCAGGAGAGCTGTGCCAGCCTCTCAAGGTGCTCCTTCCTTCATGACAGGCATGGTTATGGTCCAGCAGCCCAGCACTGCTGCTCTGGGAACAGGCACTTACTGTACTGCCAGGATTGTTTGGGTTGAGGTTTGTGAGTCAGATGCAGCCCCGAGGCCTCTTCACTTGCTAATACAATCTTCACTGCTGTGCTCGTTTATGCTCTAAATTTTCTGCTTTTGCTTGTGTTTTACATAAACTGATTTTATGGACCAAGATGCTTCTTGGTCTTGAGAACGGAACAAATACATAGACAAGTTCTGTTCTCATTTGTCATGCTATGCCTACACATTATCTACTTTATGGTTTAGGAAGGGCTTTCACAAATCTGATTGTTTCCACACATCTGTCCCAAATTATGCTTTGTTTCCTGTTCTTTACATCTTTGTATGCTGTTTTAAATATCCAAGTAAACACAAAGAAAACTCTCTAAAAAGATACTGAAAATCAACAAAAAAGTGCAAGATGATAAAATAAGATCAATTTATGGAAATGGAGAAATGATGCTGCAATAAAATCCAGAATATTGAATCATTTTTGCTGTCAAAAAAAAGAAGTTAAGACTTCCACAATATGCATACTGGCAAAGACAGTGCATAGTACAAGATATATATATATACTCACACACATATATATATATTTGATACCTCTGTAAAACTCAGCAGTTTAACAAGGAGTGACTGATTATCTACTTTCATTCAGCTCCCTAGAAGTGATGTTGTGGCACTATGTCTACGTGCTACTGTAGCTCTTTCAGAACTACAAGGACAGTGAGCTCAGGTAGGATTCATAGCAAATATAGCCAGAAGAAACTGCCAAAAAGCCCCAGCATTTTCAGGTTTTGTACCAACATACAGATCAGGGACACCATGCATACTTAAAACAGAATTTAAAAAGCACACTGGTGCTGTGCAGGTCGTGTAAGACTTCACAAATTTCTTATTCAAAAAGATATATTAATGGAAGCTGTAGCAGGATATTTCCACCATGGTCTAAGACTCCTGGTCAAGTCAAGTCAAAAGTAATTTTTTAAAAATTACCTAAAAATTACCTCAAGTCTCAGATTTAAACAGTAACATTCTAGTTTAAAACTGTACTCATATTAACATTTCTCATCTTTCTTCAGAACATAGATGCTGGGGAGGGTTGCACAGATCACAATCCTTTGTTTTAGAAGTGGGCTGCACGTCACAGCTCATAATGCACGCTGGGTTAAAGCCACTGTCACTGCTCAGTTCCAGCTGTGTGTTGAGTTGGATGTTTCTTTCCTTAAGGAAATTGTTGCATTTTCTCAAGTCAGCTGTGACAATGCCAGCCAAGCCAACCAACACCAGTTCCAAACACGGACATGTTTGGAAGAGCTCTGATTATTATCACCATTGCATGGAATTGACTCAGTTAATCAGGTAGGGTGCCTTTAGCCTCACACTGTACATAATAAATCCACATTTAGGCAGCAATTTACATCTCTCAGGACTCCCTAATCTAAGCATTTCCTTGAAATGGTCGGACAAACTCCAAATTACATCACAAGCACAGCCTTGTATCCTGAAAGTTAAAACAGATGCCTGGTTTTTGGCCTCATCTCCCTGGTTTTGATCAGCAGTAGGAAACTGGAAGTACCACCCTTTAAGAAATTCCAAGATGTGGTACAACTAAACAGGCTATTACAAAACTCTACTGGAAAATTTATCGACACATCAAAATTGTGTAAGCGATTTTCATGAATCACAGTGGATTAATGAGAAATATAGCAGCTTGATTCATTCCCAAATTGCAAAATGTAATTCAATCCTTCAGCTTGAAATGTGAATTAGACTTCTGAGCTTTTCTTTTTCGTTGATAAATTTGCATAACTGTTGTACTTTTTGTTTATAACTGAAGTGCTCTACTTGCACTTCAGCTGCAGTTCACTTCAAAAAATGCACCCCATTTTAAAATAAATACACAGCTATTGAGTCTTCATTCAATCTTCCACACAAAACTGTTCAACTCAAAACTGTGCTCAGCTGCAGGCAGTACTTCAAACCTTCAACCATTTTTTCTCTTCCATATAATAAAACAGAGAGATAATATAAATTTAACATTACTTACCTTTATTTGCTTGTAATCTTATGTTTTGTTTATACTTTCATCATTGTTATCAAACACCTCATTCTTCAAACATAAGCATGCTAAGTGTATTAGTACAGAGAATAGAATTACTTTGGCACTACCAACTCTATCAAAGAAAGAAGAATTCACAAGGCATGCTTAGCATCTTGTTATACAACACAGATGGTGCCACAGATTCTTAGGTATCATCATGAGTTAATGGATTTATTCTATGCTTTCCTCTGAAGAAAGAAAGTATTTAGTTTTCAGCAGGAAGTTTAGTTTTCAGAAAACCAAGGCTAGAAAAGCCAAATCTTTTGTTAATTGCAGGAGCCACTTTTTTTTAAATATAAATAAATCCTACCTTTTGATAAACCTGAATGACATGTTTCTAAAAGAAATTAAGCCAAAATAAAAATTAACAAAAAATTTTGTACAAAATAAATTGAAAAAGGCATTTATTGTGAAACATGCAAAAATCTCATTTTAAATGCAACAATTAAATTACACTTCAATACATTCTCAGATTAGGCAGATGATTTAGGGGCTGAAGAGTCAAACTGTTGGAATTGCTACTTCCAATTTTTTTCTGGGAAACATGCAACCAGTATTTATTATGAATTAAAATATGTACTGGTGTCAAAACACTTTAAGACTCAAAATCTGCAAGGTCGGGTAAAAATATGTTTGGATTTTCTTCATGTATTTACCATAGAAAGCAAAAATCAGCAACTCTATTATAATTATATCTTGAGTATCATCAGAGTTAGGTTTCTTCCTTTCTTCATAACATTAGGTCAGCTACACTGTGCCAAAAACTGCCTCAAATATTTAGCTATTTTAGTGTCAGAAGCTGTAACAGTTGCGTACACCAGAATATAAGTAGCTCAAAACCAAAAGAATTCTGATTCCCCATAGAGAATGCTACAATAAATTAATGAGTAATAAGATTTAAAAATTTTATTTAAGAGGAAGAAACATAACCATGTCCCTCAGTGGCACTATCCACCTCCTCAGTAGTTTGTATAGCACTGAATATAACAGAGCCCCAGCTGCAAGAGATCCTCCAAGAGCAAACTAATCATCTGTAACTGTGTTATTGTGTTACAACTGCATGTTATTTAATCAAGTCCAGATGGAATTTAAACTACTGTCAAAAGACTTCTTCAAGAAAACCACACTGCACTGCAAAAGTTGAAACTCTGAGGTAATGATAGAAGTTTGAATGCTGCCTAAACAACTGAGTGAAAAGTTTGCATGTTCACAGTTTGAGCGTCCACATTTGGAACGTCAAATGGAAAATTAAGTAAGGATATTACAAACAAAAGTACAGAAAGAAAGATGTGCCAAAAGGATGTGGCTGATTAAGACTTCATTTGACATAAAGCAGATGGCTTAACACTTAAAAAATATTCAAATTAAACTTCTCTCTCTCTCAACATAAAAAGAAGGGGAAAAAACCCAAACCAAATTTCCTACAGCACAGTGTTTCCCAGAGAAGTGTCACCTGGCAGAGAACTGAGCAAATTAAAACATTTCTCAAAGGCTAGACTGTCACGTTCTTGTTTTGTAAAGAAGCAACTTCTACATTTTTGAAGAAATTCACTCTCTAAACTGAAATCAGCCATTTATGAAAAACTGGAGTCTGGCTTAGCAGTATTTTGTAGGAAGGGGAGACTGCAAAGGGGATACTGAGAGGGAGGCATCTATAGTCAAAGTAGACAGGAAGGAAATGGGTTGCTGCTGACGTAGTATAAGCTTAAAACAAAAGCTAAGCAGGCCAAGATCAGAATGATCTTGTCCAAAAAACTTCACCTGATAAGGAGTGTACAAAAGCTTGATGATTATCTTAAAGCAAAGAAAAACAAGCTTTCATCCTGAAAATGCAAGTTGTGGAGATCAGTGGTCTGGAGTATGTGGTAAGGGAACGGACAGGTTTTAAATCCAGAAGGAAAAAAACACAATTTTCAATTTTAGGGTTTGTAGTAACTAATCTAAATCGTACATGGACTTGAAACTAGAAGTTCGGTTAGAATAAAAATTGTGCAGCAGCAAGACCTGCTGAAGCTTGGCTTTGGCCAGACCACCACACCTTCACACCTAACACAGACTCTGCACATGAACTAAAGGCCAAATCAGGAATAAATTTTTCAAGGTTTGGCCAGACTCCTGCCTAGACTGAAACCCTAATACTGCCATTATTTTAAGATGGCCTGTGACAGTACTACTGTCAACAGAAGCTTTTGCCTCCTGTCCCTACCCTTTCATCTGTGGTATTTCTATTTCTGTGTTGCCAGCAAGGTTACGCTGGAAACACTGATGGACTAAGAGACTGGGAAACACAACCTGAGCTTCTAATGCTACATCAAATACTTAGATTGGGATCCTAGTTTACGCCATCTACTGATAGACTATGCAGCCCCTGAGCAGCTGAATGCTGAGCCTCTGAGCTGAAATGTTTTGTCTCTGCAGCATTCATACCTCAGACATGAGGCTGGAGAGTATAGAAGAAACAGCACAGACCAAACTGTCTCACATTTAACCCCATTTCACTCAACTCCCAAAAGCAAATGGCTTCTGTAATCAGAAAAGAACTATGAAAAAAATCATAAGCAACTGCATTTTAAGTTGCAGAACTTAAGTCACCGATCACTGACAAAAATCACCTAAGCAATGAAGTATTTCTGCTATTAAAAAAGAAAAAAAAAGACAGAAACGTTGCACTAGCACCTTAAGAGGCTTACCTTCTGGTTAGTTTGGAAGTTAGTTTGCTGAAGAGGTTGGTGGAGCCCCTGGTGCGGGTCTGTGAGAGCGGCGTGGCCTCGTGGGACAGGCTGGGCGAGGCGGGCGGGCCGTTGTAGGTGGCGGTGCGGCGCTCCCGCAGCTGCCCGTGGAACGTGCTGCGGCTGGCCGTTCCTCTGGGGAAACGAATACGGTCAGGGGTGGTCGCACTGCTAATGCTGTGGGTTGAAGCAACGGGAGTTCTCTGATCGGGAATAGTGCTAGGGCAGAAAACAAACACAAAAAAAAACAAAACAAAAAAAAAACAACGCTAGAACGCCTTCGCGCAGGCACTGCGGCTCAGCAGGAAACACAAAACACTACGTTCTACAGTAAAGCATAAGCAGACACTTTTATATAGGCCAAGGTTGGAAATACCAACATTATTACAGCACTGTATGGAATCAAAACTTGTAAGAAGTTAGGATTAAGAGGCTGCCGAAACAGAAACCTACATAGGCAGAAAAGTGCAACAGGAATATCCTGGAAAAGACCAGATAAACCAGGCCTACAGTGTTTCACTGAGAAGACTGATAAAAGAATAGCCCAGTAAAGTTTCCTCCCAGGAAAGAGAATAAGTAACTTTAATGTCTCTCCCTCCACATTCTGTACATACATCTTTGAAAGTCTTGCTAATTTGAAAGTATCCTACACAAAATTCTTTACAAGCCAACCGCTCCAAGTAGTGAAGTCCTTCAGGATACACAGTTAAAGTCTCCCACAAACTTTGACAATAGGGAATGTCCAATACTCCTAATAATAGGAAAAAATTAAGATTCACTATTGCAGGATTATGTCACAGACAGCCTGACACACCACAAGACAAATGTAAACAAGACTAAAAAAATGAGGAAACACACATCTTGTGGGCAAAATATACTAGAACAATCTAGGACTAAAATTCCACAGCACAAAGTTAAGAAGCAGTGGGTATAAGTTAGTGTCACAACGATTTCTGGTTCTTACATAGGCCTGAAGTTATCTGCGCCATTGTCTATTGGAGGCAACATCATCTTCGTGTGCACAGAGGCTGACATGGACATCGACTTCTGATGTCGCAGCCGAACACTGGAGAAGGATGTGGTACAAACTGAAGCAGGGCTAGCTGCGTAAGCGAACATTTCTGTCAGGCTGCGAGGGGGTTTGGGTTCAGGCAGAGGCAGAAAGAAGAGCATGATGGACCAACAACAAACTACTGCATAGAAAAAAAAAGCAAACTTTTCCTTCTATTAACTGGTTTATCAAAGAACACGAACTCTAACAGCCCTCCTCTTCTATGTAAACAGCAGTAACTACCCTACACTCCCCTTAAAAAGCATCCTTACTTACATGGCACTGGACATCTGTAAGTGACCATGCTCTTACCATTAACATTAGTTAGCAGTGATACCCTCCTTGATGTACAGAACCTGAATAACTCAGAATTCTATGCCAAAACTCTACGATAAAGCACTGATGTAACTTGTATTGCTCTTAACAGTAAGCAATGCATTAAAACCCCCACCAAATGCACTTTCCAAAAGACTCACGATAGCTCCATTACTACAGCGAAATCCTTTGTTTTCAGAATGTATCCGTGTTAAAAGAAATTAGTGAAAGTTGGGCAAGCTGTCAAATCTACATCAGATAACTGAGATGTACACACAGGTACAATCAAAACTAAAAATACCATGATCTTTAACAACTCCAGAGAGGAAAAAAGAAAAAGGCTGCTAGTAATGATCCTGTACATGTAGTAGGCACTGAACATGCTTGCTGTTCTCTGAAGAAAGAAGAATCGCTTTGACCATGAACATTAAATTATCCAATTTACCATTCAGGCTTTGTAGGAAAGTATAGAGCACTGTATTAGCAGAATGGCCAGTAAGCTGCCAGCTGTATAATATGTTCAAACAGGAGCATTAAATTTATGTATTTATTTAGGCCAAAATACTATTTACAGCCTTCACAGTATCTAGTAATGATAAGGATAGGAGAAAAGTGAGAAGCCACAAGATGTTTTGGGCCTTTCAGACTACATCACCACATCATTCATCTGAAGTTTGCTTTAAAAGTAAGAACCGTTGTAATTCAGAAATTTTGCTCAAGGTTAAGATACTGCATGTTCACTTCCAAGTTACTTCATGGTTACACACACAAACTGAGGTCCTGTCACCAAATTCTGGTACATCACTCTGGAGAGGAGAATGCTAGTGCAGCTACAAGTGTCAGCTCATCCACTTCTCAGGCTCAGCTCCCAAAGCACTAGTGCACAACACCACACGGCTCAGACATCTGAAATGCCAGCTAGAATGCTTAGCCAAACATACTTGGTTTTGGTTTGTTTTTAACTTTTCAGGATCTGAAAAACTTCATCTGAGTCATGCATGCATCTCAACAATGTTGAATCCATCAGGATGACAACTACAAGTACTACTACAATGAAGCCTTCAACACAGGCCCAGCATTTACATTACCCCAGGGTTTTAAAGAATTGTAAGAAAATGAACATTCATTTCAAAACTAATACTCTGAAGTCACATAATTGGTCACTAGTATCTTAAGCTCTTCCAGCTCCTTTCTTCTATATTTACTGCAAAAGATAAAGAATCTAGTTTTACAACACAAGACCCAAGTTTTTAGTCACCTGCCTCCAAAAATGTGACATCTAAAGGTATCAATAAGGGACCTTCTCTTCCTCTGCTGCTTTGCTAGAAATCAGCTTCCTTGGATTACTAGCCTGGGAACACAGGAACAGCAAACTAACAATCACCAATTAGCGCCAAGGCTTATTAAAAATCTGAAGCTGTTGTAAATCATTTGTGTTACAAATGATTTAAAGCAATTGCCTATCATTATGAAGAGTGTTTCATGAGTCCCCAAGTGCGTTAATTAATGCTCAGGCTTTGGAGGAAAGCCAAAGAGTTGTCTCCAGCAGAATGCCTGTGTCAGCCACACAATGTGTTAAAGCAGAGATGGGAGACTTAGAACTCTTTGCTTCTACCAGTCTGGCATGGGCCTTCAGGACTGCTTTCCCCAACATCAGATCTACTGACTATCGATTCTTTAAAGTTTTCATATGTTCAGAAACAGTGCCTGCTCAGAATTCAATGTGCAAGATAAAAGTAAGCGATGCTTTAACACTTTCTCTACAGAAAAAATAGAGATTTTAAATGTGTGCATCTTGCCTTTTATGGTAAGTCTCCCAAGTTTTCACTGGGTCACAGTCAGTATCTGACTAGCTATGGAAAATCTAAAATCCAATCTGTAACAAACCATTTACAGCAATTACTCCTGCCTGTAACATTTGCCACCAGACATTTCAAAAGCACAGAAGTAATTTTTAACTAAACCTTGGATATGTACAAAGCCCACGTTCAACTTTGGATCTTGCTTTACAGAAGAGAAAAGAACAAGTTTCTAGAGTTACTTTCTGCCAAGCTGAGAGTACAATAACATTAAAGATTAATTCTTAAGAGCCAGTCCCATCAATAGCCATGTTGATTTTTCCTGCATTAAAGGTCCCTGCATTTCATGTGACCAGTCAATGCTTTACCCAGTTACAGCAACAAAATACATTCAGATCTGAATTCTGTGCCAAATCACAGTAATTATGAAACTGTGCCAAAATGAACATGCAGTTTAGTATTGAAGCATTTCAGACAATGACATCTCCAACTGTAGTACAATTAGCAATGCATTCTCATTACCTTTTCTCTTTTTAACCTTCTATAAAAAGTAATGAATATAGTAATCAAAAAATGCATGATCAAAGCTATACATTTTTTACCTGTGCAAATATAAATTCTCAGACATTTCAAATGACCCAAATAAGTCTAGTTTGTAGAAAAAGCAAATGATGTTTAAATATCATATTGACAATAAAAAGGTAAATTAAAAAAGGACAACCAATTATGAATATAAAACACAACTAATGTAGTTGTCAAGTGGTACTCAATCTTAACTTTGAATTTAAGGTTTATATGTGACAAACCAGAAAAAAATCAGTTCTCCGAGAAACTCAAAGCTGAGGAAATAAAATTACTTCAAAAGATAGCTCTTTAGGAGTATGAATTTACTCCCAAATTAAGGGAACATCTAAATCTCAAGCATTCCTAGTAAACAATATCTGATAGCTTTTAAAAGCATAACAAAGAAATTGTAGACAAGATATGAGTTTAAGGATGAACAGAAATTGTATACAACCAAGTAATCAAGTAACAAAAAATTACCAAAACTATTATGGACAGAAAGATTCATTTTTTCCAAAGACTGCTTGGAAAGAAAAAAGATATTAACATATCAAATCAGAGAAAGGATGGTGAGTTTTAGCCTAAACAACCTGGTAAGATTAACAAGGAGTAACCAATGAAGGCTGAGACAGATACAATTTTGGCAGTCTTCAAACTTATACTCGACTCTTTCCTTAATCCCTTTCCATTTGCAGAAAACTAGGAGGAAGAGACAGGGTCAAAATCATGTTCTTTATCCCTAGGCTCCAGGAATCAAACAGGGAATAGACAGGCTTTCCATTCAACATCAAAATTCCTCATCAACTGCCAAAAGGAGGGAAAAAAATTTGTGCAAAAAATGGCAGATCTTCTCTCAACTTTAACACAAGGTAGAAAATAGATATTTTCTTCCCACCCTTTACAAAATATCACAATATTAGAAAGGGTTGGAGAAAAGTGGGAAGAGTTCCTTTAAGTACCAGCTATCTGAGTGCTCTCCTGGCAAGGGTTAACTACTTAATTCTTACCAGCTTTTGACAGCAGTAAAATTTTGACAAGAAGGGCTGGAAATTAAAATACCTCAACTAGCCAGGAAACTTGGTGGTATTCTTCCCAACTGCTACTCGATACCTGATATCTGTGATCATTATAATATTATTTCTGACAGCTCTTCTCAGTCTTCACAAGATGGCAGTAGATGTGACCACACTGCCAACACATACAGTGGTTAGCTCCAGTTCTACTGCATGCTCTACTCAGGCTTTCATTCCGTAAAATAGAAAGAAATTTGTTATTTCTCTGACTGTTTTCACTCAGAATATGGAGATACCCTGAGGAGGGAAACAGCTGAGTTCTGTAAAATCCTGGGAAACAATTAGACTGCCACTGTATCAGCAAGAAACACTATTAGTCCAAGACAATGGCTGATCATTTCATCTTTGCTCAGAAAAACATTACCTTCTCTCTGAGACTTTGCAGCAAAAATGGCATTTCAAATAACCCCAGTGAAGCAGAGTTTAGAGTGAAATATAAAAAGAGAACGGCTCAAGAGAGATGGACTTTGTAGCCTGACACTAAACAATACTCTTCTGCAAGCATATGCTGTTTGACCACAGGAGTTCACAATAAATTTAAGATGAAGACTGCTACAAATATTTCACATATTTAACCATAAATTAGAAACTTCCTTTTATATTTTAAATATAAAGACTATAAAATTAAATATAGGAAAAAAACCCAAGCCCCAGCATACTTACAGGTGCTCCATAACAAAAGATCTATACTCACCTTTCATTAAGAATTACATTAGAATATCACTTATTTTTAAATTAGGCATTACAATGTTTTTGGAAAGGTGAAGACAAGGGACATACACCATAGGAAGACATTTCATATACCTGTTCTCCTTGCCATTTTGTATCACTGAATGCCTATCAGCAGTGGTTCTTTCACTACAAACATATGTGTTGCGCCGTGTCATTGCTCCAGGGGTAGTATTATTCTACAATTAAAAAACATAGGCTTGTTATTCCCCACAGAATGCTTTTCTGAGGTTAGTCTGCATATAATTGAAGGCTTTTTACTTAATGCTACTTCTACACAGTTCTAAAACGTACAATAATTAAATAATTTGATATACAAACTCCATCTAGTATTTGTAAGGAACAATGCAATCACAAAGAATAATTCTAACAAGTTGTTCTTGTATTTCATATTGATGGCTCAAAATTATTATTCCTTAAAGTGTTAAATACAAATGATTTGAATTACAAATTCTCAGTATATATAGCATTCTTCTGCATCTAGATAGCCTGTGTCTTTATAGCCTACTTTTGAAATACTTTACCACTTGTAGCTTGGAGAATTTTCCTTTAAGTTAAAATCATACCCTTAAACAAGATAGGAAAAGGAAAGACTTAACAAACAAATGTGGTAAAATTCAGTGGGAAAGTAAACATGGACTTTTAAATATTAAGATACTATGAAACACTAGACAAGTTTTAAAAACAGGGAAGAATAAGAGACAAATTGCAGAGAATTTTAGTAAGACAGTTTTTAAAATACACATTTAAATACAAGCATAATACATTGAGGGCAAGAGAACCAGGGGAACTTAAACTACAGACCTTACTTTAGAGGGGAGAAAAGAAAGAGAATTACTTTGCCTCTGTCTTTACAGAGAAAGAGGGTGGAGATATGCCCAAGTTGGCGGTCAATTTTCCAGGAACGACTGAGAAGCTATAGGTAATTCACAGATAACAGAATTATAAAATGTTAGATTCAATTACTGTAGGAAAAGCACGGTGGTCCAGACAAACATGCACCCCCAGGTCGTAGAGGAAGTAAAAGCTGGCAAGCCTTTGTATTTTTTCTCCCCACCCCAAGAACAAAACACAGGAAACTGCAAATGGTTGGAAAAGTGGAAAAAAACCTTTAAAAGTTTTCTTGAAAGAAAAGGATCACGGGGCAAAGCAGGAAGCAAAAAAGGCGATATACTTCAAACATCACTGCTGGGGAAAGTTTTGGAGGAGGCCAGCTTAAGGGAATGACTGGTCAGCACCTGGATAAGCACATGTTGAGTAAGGAGGGCCACTAAGAATCAGGCAGGGGACTTCATGCTCAACTAACCTTTTGGAGTTCTTTGAAGAATTATGCTATGACGGACAAGGGAAACTCAGCGGATTTTAAAAATAGCATTAAGAAAAGGTTTCGCATAAACGGTCACAGGAGAGAATCATGGCAAGAAGGATTAAAAAAAAAAGAAAGGAAAAACTAGTTCAAGCGTGAAAGCAGAGTAGCCAAACCTTTTTTGTTTCCGAACCTGAAATAAAACTGTTAAAGTGGAATATTCTCAATGCCTAGCAAAAGCCCCTCCAGTGCCTTAAAGCAAAATATCTGCTTTTTAGGGAGTCTCAAGCAACACCTCCTCTGAGCTATTTAACCATGAAGCCATCTTGTCCAAGAGACTGCTGACCTGTTTGTTACACATCTTTTTACACAAATGTACAAATTAAAATGCAACAGTGAAGTGCACGACCTCCTGGTGTTAAAAAGTACAAAGACAAAGGGTATTTTAGATCAGCAGAACAATTAATTAACTTGTAAAATGCATGCAACTGTCTGAAGGGTTCTCAAGTATTCTTCACCAGATATTCCTTACGGATAAGCATGTGCCCAGCATCAGCAGAAGCCTTCCTGGCCCTTTCCTTATACTTTATTCCTTATATATCCCTTGTCTTCATATACATTTATTTATTTTAAAAAACCCCATCACCAATTCTTCTACTTTCCTTTGACATTTATCACTGTACAAACTCGTCTCTCTTCTTACAAGCTTGCCAGCAATGAAAGTTGTGCACCAAAGGTGAGGTTTTGCTTATCTGCTATTGGGAGGTCATACTGTGCAGGACACTTCATGGAGGCCTCACAAACCAATGGTACAGTGAAATATTGCTTATTAGTATTTGCAGACCATTTTGTTCTGTGTTCTGAACATACTAGAGGATGAAGCACCTAAAATATCCAACACTGGTCTTCTGGTGGGAAATAAGCACAATCATCAGTGGCTTCCTTCTTCCCACCTGCTTCCTTTGAATATGAAATGTTGGTTTCCCTTGAGAAGACACCCATAACATTAAAATATATTGTCATGTTGCACATCTGGAAAGACAAGACTGCAATCTCTGTGCTGGACCAGACTTTTAAGACTGCATTTTCAGGTTTGGGAGTGGACAAGTTTTGGTATTCATATCTTAAATGAGAGGACTGCAAGGACATGCTCTCTCAGCTCATGCTGAAATGCAAAGATGGAAGCATCAGTATACATTTTTCCTGTTTGACTCAGATTTCAGAGATCAGGGGAAGAGATTTAAGCACTTCAGGGTTTCAAATTTCAGTTTTGGCAAGAATAATCTTGGTATTGGGGCCTTTACACTTTCTAGTGCATGACCTTTCACGATTCATCAAGGAAGTTCTTCAGCTGTGACTTTTTTTCAGCCAGTCTAAAGACTGTTAATCTCTGGACATGACTAAATAGCACAGGTGCACAGCACTGGAAACTGGTGTGAACAGCACCCCACTCCCTGCTGGAATGACAACCCCTAGGGTCAGGGTTAGCTGCCTAAGTTCATCTTCATGGCATCCTTTGCCTTCTTTGCAGGAGGAGCTGACACAGCAAAGCACATGTTGAGACTTGTGAGCACATGCACAAGGTCCAATCACAGCACAAAGGATGAATTTGTGGCACAGAGTCCTCCTCTTTTCCTAGAGAGACTCTTGTGTGCACTGCTTAGGCAAGCTATTTCCCATTGAGAGACAGTAGGGCAAGGACTAACGAAAATTTTTCCAAAAAGGCTTCTGACTTACAACAGTGAACCAATCTATTAAATTAAGAGCACTAGCATGGTATTTGGTCCTGGATGACTTCTCAAATGTACCACCTATTCTCTTCCAGTTTTCTTAAAGCTGTTCTAAGGGGCAGCTTTTCTACAACATTGAGGAAAAAATCCAAAGCTCTAATAAACAAAAAAGGAATTATTAAAACACAGATATATCAGCTCCTGCTAAATATCTAATTAAAATCTGTAGCAGGTTTTAATTATTAATTTGGTATTTGCCCAAATACCTTGAAGATTTTTGATGTGTACTTGTTCAGCTTGCAGAACTATTTGGTTTACAAGAGTTAAACACTCTGTCAACTTTAGAAGTAGAGCTTGGATCCCCTCACTCCAGTCCCAGACTTAGCTATCTGCTCTAAAAGCACAACTCTTATCCTTAAGTGCAGGCTTTTAAGCTTTGTTATTTAATAACAATAGCACACAACTGACTAAGGGTAGCCAGCAAGGACTGGTTCTGCTGCTTTTGCTGTTCTGCCAAAATAATAATTGTTTTTATAGGGTATTTTTCCATCTCTTCAGTGCTTTTCCATCATATTACAGATTTCAGGAATTCAGTGCTCAGTAAAACAGAAACTCTCTTCATCTCAAACTTTTTTCAGCCTCAGGACAATATGGTAACTCCTATAATTTGTTGCCTTCTAGAAGCATGCTAACACTGTAAGAAACAGAATTCCCTACTCAGCTGCAGGAAATGAGTAAAAAGTCAGTGCTTCCCTTCATTCCCAACAACCAGAAAGGCAAAGTGTCATCTTTGTAGTCTTTTGCAGAGGAGAGTAAAGGAAAGGGAAAAAAACTCAAGAGTTTGAACTGTCTGGTGTGAAGAGCTATACACAGAGGCAATTTTAAACACTAATTATTGAGTGACAACATAAGTCTGATTTCCTGTTCACCACTTGGTATCACTGCTAGTAAAAGATCAGCTGGGCCAGTTGTACACTGAGTCAGGGAAGCATCATATGGTTATGAGCTGAAATTTTATTTCAGTTACAGTAGTAAGAAATTTGAAATAAGTCTACTGGAATAAATCCCCAATATTTGAAGTGGCACAGAATAGCAGATGAAAGGATACTGAATGTAAAGTATGTTGCAACTGTGACACAAATCTTTTGATAAGGCACCATACAATACCAAGTGAAGTCCAATGTAGGACAAAACTGATTTGATTATCCTACCATTTTGAGATTCAATAGCTAAGAACTATCTTTTAAGAAAGAAGCAAATCTGAATGGTTTCTGTACTGATCAAGAACAAAGGGAAACTGTGGAGGACCACAAAAATCAAAAAAGGGTCCCCAAAATACTAAGTTCTTGTTCACATTTATGAATAAAAGCTGCTACAGTAGATGTGTTTTTCCAAGGAAACTCTTGGGCTGATATCCTTGAGCCAAGTCACTACTAGCCACTGAGCCAACTGACAATACAGGACCAATAAATTAAAACAAGTTTAATTTCACTTCATTTGCTTCAGACTGTCCTGCAGCTCAGGAAGTTATGTTCTCATTTGTTTTAAGTAATGGTGCTGAGTATTATGACCAAAGAAATGAGACAGCTTTTTCGGATAAGTTAAAAAAAAAAAAAAAAGGAAAAAAAAAGTTCTGTTGCAAGTTGAACAAATTGATTAAAGGCCTGGGAATTTTGTTCTGCTTACAAAATCCCAAAGTTTTAGAAATTAGATGTCACAAGACTTAAGCATTATGTGAAAACAGATTTCCAACTTTGCCTTTGAGGGAGTAACCACAGAGATCAAAAGCTAAAGCCAAAATGGACAAAGGATTTTATTTCTTTTGGCACACTGCCTATTGCTAAACCATGTACATTCACTACTTTTGCTCCTTTGTATGTTTTTTTTTGTTATTGTTGTGGTTTAGAAGCAGGTGGGGGAAGCCCACAAGGACAAAAGCCAGGCACACTGATTTTGAGTACAGGCTGAAATACATCTTTGAAGAGTTTTTAGAACTACATTTCTTTGATAATATTAACAACATAACTATGATCTAAAATAGCATGTTTGAGGACAAAGATTAGGTGGCTGCTTAAACATGTGAGACTATAAAACAGGATAACAAAAACAGATTTCATTCTTCTGTACAGAGGCCACAGAGGAGTGGTTGGTGATATGAGGAGTAACAAAACTACCTTTTGTTTTACTTTTTTTTTAATACCCAAATTATGTCTGTTTACCAAGAGCTACTAATGCTAATTATAAATACTGACTACTTCAACACTATTAAGAGGCAACTTGAATAGCTGACATTGCAAGGGAAAAATACCTACATTTACTGATAGAAGAAAAGTAAAATCAGCACCACTGATAAATCACAGGTTTAACACTTTTTTACACCTCAAAAAAAGTAATGGTTTTGATAAATAAACGTTTCTACTTACACTAGGAACAGCCGAACTTTTCTTACGTTCGGGAATATCAGCCTTGTTGGGATTGCTGGCATTTCCAAGCATTGGGCTAGCTGGTGCAATTCCTCTTCCTGCAACAGCACTACTGCTGGATTTTCTTGACTGAATTCCTTCCTCTTTGAGGTCACTGTCTGTAGTACTAGTACTAGTCTGGCTTCTTTTGGGATATGCCACTACTGAGGGGATGGATGGTCCAGCTTAAAAAACAAACAAAAGAAACAGGAAAAGGATTTTTCTTCTCAAAAGTTCAGTAACTATTTGTTATCACAATGAAAATGTGTTCACACATGAGAATGAACATAGTTAACACTGGGAATCAAAGTTGCAAAAAGATAATTAAATTATTGAAATAGATGTATTTCAGGAAACAGTAAAATATTGTGAAAACCTTGCAAGGTGAAGGTACTTCTTGATTTCCGTGAAAGTTTCAAGAATTTCATTAAGGTTTCTCATTTGGCTGGCTAGTAAAACTCTTTAGAGTCATCTTCAAGACACTTAACAAGTAACTGACTCACTGAAAGCAGACCATCCCTCATTAGCACAGTGTTGCCATACGCTGTTCAAGCCAATTTCCCGGGACAGGCAGCTGGTGACACAGCCCTGGGGCACCAGCAGCACTGATGGCTGGTGCTCTGTGCTCCTGCAACAGCCACAAGTGGCACTGGGTCACCACCAGCCTTCCCACGTGTTCCAGGAGCAGACAACTGCTCCTGACACCTGGGAATGAGGAACAACAGTGCCAAGCTCCCTCCTTCCTTATCCAGCCTCCTGGACACTGGGTAAAGTCTGTGGGGTGTGTCAGGATTGTGTTTTCTGACATCTCACAGCTCTGAAGAGATACATCAAGTTACATCAACTTCTTAGTTAAGCGTTTTAATAAGAATTATTCAAAAACTGTATGAATGTATATATACAGAAAAAAGAATACATATAAACATATATAATATGTAGCTAAAACATGTTTTACAAGTATCAAAACCCCCAGTAACTGGCAACACAGAAGACCCCCCCCAAGGAAAAGCAACCTCTGAATGCAGAGAATGTAGGCCTAAACTGGCAATGTCTGAGCAGAAGGATGTTTTTGACATTTAGAAAATCCTAATCTACTATATTGCACTGTCATTAAGCAGAAGAGTTGTAAGTTTGTCAGAGTCATTGTTCTTTATAAATTGAATTCCTGCAGGACAACCAAGTGACACTATCCTCAGGAAACAGGAAACCAGAATTATTGGCAAACTGACATTTCTTCAAGTTTTAGACACAAGCTGACCTACTAGTGTCAAAAGAAAACAAAAGCTAAACAGACAAACAAGAGCATGGGGGAGGAGTGCTGTGCCTTTCATGAAAAAGGGGTTGCAACATTCTCTTCAATTTGTGTAACAAGACTTTGCCAGCACAGCCAGGAATGTAAGGGACAACACAAGGCAGAACAAGAGGATTAAATTGGTGTATTCAGTGCTCCTCTAAAAGCTCTTTTGAAGGCTTTGTAACAAAATCAATTTTAAAAATCAATTATTCACTAAAATATTTAACCACCATGCTGTGGACTATGCTGTTGTCATACTCCTTACACTTGGGGGATGGAGACAAATCCAGAAACCGAGCAGAACTGGAAGTCACTGTACTCTGCAACACTGAAAATGAGAAATGCTCACCGTGATCACTGTACCGCCGCTGTTTCTGGCTAGAAGATATGCTTCTCTGAACTTTGTGATGAGGAGATTGTCCAGTGCTATTATTAAGATCACTACTTGGCCTAACTTTGGCAAGTGAAAGATTGCTGCTGGAGCTTGAATCACTTGCATCCAACTACAATACAAACGAGAATATTAAAACAAGGAGTTCAGACAAAACAAATTAAAACATCCACCACATTCTGGGAGCAGGAACAGGGAGGTGGAAGATGGCTTTGCTACTTGGGAAATCAGTGATGGCATGGGCATTTGCTTAGAGGTCCCACCTTTTTTTAAGTCGTTGTACAACTGTCTTAGGTAAAACTCAGCGGAATTTGCAGCTCCTCAAAGAATAATCAGTAAAGAAAATCCATTTGTCCTTTCAGAACTCTCCCCTCGCAGTTCTCCAAGATTTTAACAGGAAGAGAGGATACACTTTGTAGACCACTACATCAACTCCTCCAGGAGAGGAACCAAGAGCAGCTTTCTGATGCTGAGCCCTCTCAGCATCATATGGAAAGGTAATCTACAATGCATTAACTTTTTCAGGTTGTTCAGTCCTGCTCCTTGGTTCTCTTGTAACAGTTACACATTCACACCTGAGCTCCTAGACTAGCCAGGACAATAACTGCATACAAAATCCTTCAGAGGAGTAACTGCTGAGTGAACAGGGCAGCTCCGGAGAGCCTAAAGGCAAGAGTTTACTGGCTCAAAATCAGGTGAGAACAAATCTATTTAATTTGGACTGCTGATGAGCAGAACAACATGACTTTAAGTACGATGGATTTTTTTGCAGGAATGCAATGTCTACAGTAACTAACTTAATTTTTGTTTCTAACTCTGCTAAAGACACTTTCTGATTTGCTTCTTTGCAGTTTTAAGAATGGTACTTACCTCTGATGACTTCCTTCCTAGCAGTAAGTATGTAGCTGTAATTTCATCATACTTCATTTTACTAAGGGATTCTTGAATTTCTTCTTGAGAATATCCCATTCCTACCATAATATCTAAAACCAAGCAGACATTCTGTAAGTAACTGAAACTCTGATGTTCAGGCTGGCTGAGTTTTCAAGAGAAAAGATGGAACATTTAAAGAATTAAAATAGAATTGTTAATTTTGAGAACATAAACGTAATAAAGTATCAGTTTTAAAGGATTAATTACTTTTTCAAAATGTCAAACAAATACAGAGTGGTAGTGGAGAAAAACAAAATCCCCTCCCACAACATGCAAACAGTATCATACTCTGGAAAGTATTCAGTTACCTATTCTTTTCTGGTCCGAGATGTCTAGCTCTGGTTCAACAAAAGGTTTAAGTTCATCCTCCTCGTGCCCTGCATTGATCCACCTGTCCTTCATAATTTGCTATGGAAAAAAAAGTTTTGTTAGCACAGTACACTTACCAGCAAAGAAAACAAGCTGTGGGAAGAACAACTTCTTTATGCAACAAACATTAAGGTCTTTGCTAGTTTTTATGCTCCAGAACATTTCCAGCACCTATTGCTTTGCTCCAGTGAGGAGAACCAACTATGCACACCAAGCCCAGCTTCTCCCTAGTCAACTGTATTCCAGCTCCCAGCTGAGAGCCAAAAGCCTGCAATGCAGACCAGGAGCAGTGTGACAACTGTGACATATCTTGGAATTCCAAGCTCCACCAACAGAAGCCCTGCTTTGGTCTTTACTCCTCCATGATGGTACAAAGGGCAGGCAAAAGGCAATTAACAGCAGCCAACACCTCCAGTTCACAACTGAAAATGTGGAAAACAATGTGGTGGATCATCCATTAATGCAGGAATCCACAAGCTAAACACCAAGAAAAGTTATATGACAAAGAAAGTGTTGTGACACTGATTTTGAAAGTAACTGGAGTCAGGTGTGTTACAACCCCAGTAAACAGTTTCTTTGAAGAGTCATGTGCTTTCATCAACAATCCCACCTCCAAAGCCCACTCCAAACATGCAGAGGAACAGTATGGAAATAATAAGTTATAGCTCAAAAATCCAGTTTGCAAAATATGTCGAGCTTTCTGATGCACCTAATTTGTGCAATTACCTCTAGAGTGCCTCTTTTTGTTGGGTTTAGCACCAGGAAACGTTTGAGGAGGTTTTCACAGTCTGTGGACATGTAGAAAGGAATCCTGTATTTTCCCCTTAGAACTCTTTCTCTAAGTTCCTTGGTAACAGAACAAGAACAGACAGTAAGTTGTAAGCAGCAAGTCACATAAAATATTAGATAAAATATTAGATAAAATATTAGATAAACATGGCCAACATAGTCTACAAAAAGCTACCTTTAAGTTCTGTCCATCGAAGGGAAGAGATCCACTCACGAGAGTATAAAGAATAACACCTAAACTCCAAACATCTACTTCAGGTCCATCATATTTCTTCCCTTGAAAGAGCTCTGGAGCAGCATATGGTGGGCTGCCACAAAAGGTATCCAGTTTATTTCCAACTGTAAACTCATTGCTAAAACCAAAGTCAGCTATTTTAATGTTCATATCTGCATCTAGCAATAGATTTTCAGCCTGGAAGAGAAAGAACAGTTTGTAACATGAATAAAATACTTGATTTAGAATGCTATTGGTTGCTTTTACTCATTCTTAAAAGGCAAGAAACTGAAATACCCATTAACATTCCCTTCCCTGCAAGATCTTTAGGTGTGCTTTAGTCAATCATTAGTATATCCTGTTTTAAAAATCTCTGTACAACGGCTTCAGACCATGGGAGCTGTTTCACTACCTGAAAACTTGTTAGTATCTGTTTATCTCCATAGAAATGTATCTTAAATTTTGATCTATTCAGATGAAAATAAAATACAGTCTCACTATCCATACTTGATAGCATGTGGTATTCTTGCAGTAGCTTGGTAAAATAAACATAACTTTTAAAGTATTTTCAAGTGTTCTTTTTTTTGTGGTGGTATTGTTTTTTGGGTTTTTTTAAGTTACAAAGCTATGGCAAGTTGAACAAATTACATAGCAATACTATTAATATAAAAGGCAGTGTTTAAAAAAGAGATATGCTGTTTCATACCAAGACACAAAGAAGCCATACTCCGGTTTCATTATCAGTACTGGTAATTCATTCTGTTCAAATCAACTCTTGTCATATCTCTATTAAAATACCACTTAAAAAAAAAATTTCTCACACATACACTGCACACACTTTTTCATACTCACCTTGAGATCTCTATGAACAATATGCTTTTGATGGCAATACTGCACTGCAGATACTATCTAGATAGAAAACAAGCCAAATTATGTAAGTAACATCTCAAAGAAGCAGAAGCTTTAATCAAAGATTTCAACATTTATTACTGAAGTTGACATGAAGTTATCCAGTCAGACCTAGATAACCAACTCCTACAGTGACCAGTACATTTGGGAGAAAGTTGCTGAATAACTTCGATGTTATTTGATCTATTTGCTTTCTCCTATACTTGAACGAGGATTTTGTTTTTCCTGTGGGGCTAATTATAGACCAGTAGAAGCAATGACTTTCAAAAAGGTTACTGAAGTATTTCCATTCCAATACTGTATACAGCTATAAAAGCTTTCCCCCTAGACTGAGGTTTTCCAGGCCCTCTTCAAAGGTGATTTTTCATGGCATACCAGAGAGAAAAAGGGTAAGAAATGGGCTTTGGTTACTTGAGAGACTACTGGGAAACAGCCTGTTTGTCAAAATTTATGCAATGACAAGCAACTATGCATCTGACAGAGATCTGCTGTCTAAGTGCATACGGTTTAGTGTATTTTGTATACCATAGCAAGCTCAATGGAAAAACCCTCTTATGTCTCTTGTGTAGTGGAATAATTTCTTCCATCATAATTTCCAAGTATCATAATTTTTTTCCTGCTTTATATAACAAATAAAATAATATAAAATATAAAATAAATATAAAATAGTATATAAGCTATTTAAACAGTGCAGTGTCACAGTACATTGCTTCTTAAAGTCATAAGCATTGCTGCAGAACTTCACATGTATGGAAAAGCTGGATAAAGTATTATTCTTACATGACCACAAATGCAGCCAAATGCATTTTGTCATGTATGCATGGTCAGAATTGAGGCAGATGTTATGACTTCTTGAAGTAAGTGGAAGTGCACATAAAAATAGTAACTACATTTAAATAAATATATTTCCAGTCTTCATTCAAGAGTAAGAAGACTCCTCTGGAAGAAATGTGAGGTAGCATTACTGTTACAAGAAAATAACTCATGATCAGATCACCAGTATAGTGTAAGGATCCTGCAGTACTGGTAGGGAGCAAGGGTTCTTGCCCTCAGCATTTAGAGCATATGAAAGGTATTGGTAAGTTCTTGGTAGTTCAAGTAACTGAGGCACCAGTAAGCTTTGTATTTGAAACTTAAGCACCAAAGTGATCTTTGTGCTCTGTATTCACTTGAAACACTCACATGCAAAATGTAACCTTAGAAACCAAGTGACAGTGGAAAGTTGAAGTACTATTTCCATTCCCTACACCTTCATTCTGGTTTTGCTTTTTCCTTTATGTACTGGTTCCCTCTTTCAGACTCCAAGTTCAGCTTTTTACAGTTAATGAAACTGCCAAAGTGCTCCCATGCCACCACTTGTCCCATCCTTTTGGTTTCCCTTCCTTTTCTCTCTGCTACCATTACCTCAGTGCCAGTCACAAGCTCACTCTGCAGGGGATTCCAATGCTGACAGCCTGACAAACACCTCAGGCTTTATTCAGGATTGCAGAGACACAGCACTATTACCACTCACTCCTGAACTGCTTTATTGTGACTGCCTAAGAGGGAAGGTTGAGCAGATGATCAATCGTAGCTTCCTTTGGAGATGCTTCTGAACTCCTCTGCATTACAACAGGATGGCACAGAGACTGCAGAAGTGAGTCCAATCCACATGAAGTGAAATAATGCAATAGGTAGGACATTAATAATTGAAGAACACCAATCATAACTGAATGAAAAATAGCACAAAGCATGGCTGCACCAGACTGAAACCCTTGTCTTCAACCTTCCATCATCGTTTCCACTGACAGCTCCCTCACTTCCTAACCTTGTGTGAGGAATTTTCTGACACTTGGCAGGTGAAGAGAAGAGGGGAAAACTCATCTGTTACTTTTTGCTAGAAGTAACAACTGGAGCACTGAAAAACTTTTCTAAAGAGTGATTTTAAAAATCTGCATAAATATAGGGTTTGAAGAAGTTCTCTCTAGAAGAAGAACCATTCTCTAAAAGGATTAAATACAAAAGGATAAATGACCTCTCAAGGGCCCTTCCACACCGCTAAGAGCATTCTGTTGCTTTACTAGAACACACCAATAAGATGTATTTTGTGGATTTTATAATTTTCTGAGATCTGTCCTAACATCTACCAGCATTAAGAATTCTATACTGCTTCAGCAGGGAAACAAGTGAGAAGACTGAAGAAGGCCAGATCTTTTTACTTGCAGAAAAGACAGAGAATGAATACACAAAAATTTAAAGAGACTTGCTGCTCTGCATCAGATTTTTCTGTGGAAAAAGGATGAAACTGAACCAGAACTGCCTGGAAGCCTGTAATAGGGAAGAAGAATAAGGTGACATTAAGAATGCAAAATATTCTTAATTTGAATTTCTCACACATGGCAACACAAAAGGAGTTTGAAATGGAGAACTGTATAGCATAGTTGTATTCTTAGACTTTGTACCTTCTCCTGTGCTCCCTGTTAAGTGCAACTGGAATAATATGATTACTGTCTTTTACATTCTATTTTCCTGCAAAAAATCTTACATATGGTTAAACAAGATGGGCTAAAAAATAGTTCGTTTTTATTTTTAACAAGCAAAGAACGGAGAATTACCAAATTCTGCTCTTTGCCTGCTAGAGGAAGTGTCTCCTCAGACAAAACAAATGTTTGATCCAGAAATCACATCTACTGAAAGAAGAAACATGATCTGAAAACAAGATATAATACAACCTATTGTAAGAACTAATCTCAATACCATGGCACAACTGTTTCTTCAGTTTAGAAAGAGCCACTGTCTGCTAAAACAGTTAAAAAATTAAAAAAAAAGAGGACTATTATGTCATAAGTCTCTATCAAACAGAGAACAGCTGCACTGCATCAGATAAAAGGTCTGCAGAGTGCATTCTTTCTCCAACAATGACCACAAGCAACACAAAGCTATTCCAGGACTACAGTAAGGTGAAATGAATAGTTTTATGACCTGTGAACCCAGCAAGATCTCGTTTCCTTGTTTCCTTTGACACTGTCCCTCAGCCTGAGCTTTAGTATCTCATAAAATGCCAAGCTCTGATCAAAGTTACCTGACTTTCATCCAGCATCAATGCTTTTCTCTCTAGCAAAGCCCAATCAGCTTGTGCTACAGTTTCTCTCCTCTGTTTATTTCTAGGGTGCTCTTTTTTTTTTCCCCAGGAACCGAGGCTTTTGAAGTTTTCAAGAACCTCCCTTCTTTGAGATCAAGGCCCTCTAAAACTGGTTGAGCTCAGCAGCCAGGAAATCAGCTGTTGGGGGAGGACAGAGCACAGCTGTCTGCACCAGGAGACTTGCAAGAGAAAACTGAAAAGTGTATTCCTGTGCATGCAAGTGCCATCTATATAACTATAAACAGCATTTATTCTACTGAAATAAAAACAAACAAACAAAACAACAACAGAAAAAAAAACAACAAAACAACACAACAAACCCACTCAAAAAATCATCAGGCTTAGAGTACATAAACCCAATTCTTTATGGGTTCCAGCATAATATCCAGCTCAGCAGGTAATTCCCTTTTAAATTCTTTTCCTCCACAGTTCTTTTTGAAAATGAAGCTACATATATCCCGTATTACCCACATTATCCCATAAAATTAAACACTAAGAGTACCTGCCAAACATGTTTGACCTGTTTCTGTAAATTTTCACTTAAAGGGGAGTAAAATTGTTAGGAAAAATTGGTATTTATTGAAGAAACATGCTATTTTAATGTAATTACTATAAGACCTTTTTCCATATAGCTCCTGATGAAAGAAATTGAGGACTGAGAGCAGAAAGTCTATCAGTAGAAGTTTCCAATATTCACATCTGAGAAAGAACAGTCCATCCTCTCAAGTTATTCTGAAGCTCTTCAAGTGACATCACAAAGGCAACAACCAGGGTTTTAGAAGAGATGGCTGAAGTGGGAATGACTGTTTCACATCCCACCACTTCTCCCAGCACAGCACAGAAGCATAAACCAGAAACCTTCAATCAGAAAGGAAAGCTCTCTACCTACCAGAATATGAAAGTGAAGGCAGCAGCTTTAAAAAGATATGTAAGACTTTGTTGAAGAGTAAAAGTTTTCATTCCTGTCAAGCTGCATAACTCCAGTAATCACAAATGACTTCTGGGGAGATGAAGTCTACAGCTGCTTTTGGATTGTTTTGTTTGTTTGGTGGTGGCAGTTTTGGTGTGGGTTTTTTTCCCCAAAAGATTAAGAAGGATAAATATAAGATTTAATAAGATGAGAGAAAACAAAGCAAAATCACTAAATTAGTTCCTGGGAGTCTCATATCTTACATTCCTTAAATTTCTTTTATGTACAGCTATGCTTAAGAAGTGAAATCATCAGAGCCTCTCCTTCCCAAAGGGAAACTGACTGACACATCACTGTCACAGTCCAACAGCTTAAAACCCCCACACACCATTCAAAAAACCACTCTTGGCCCTACTAATTATTTTCAAGTGTCATTAAGCTGGAGCATAATTTTGACATTTATTATTTTTCACAACATTACCGAGGCTATCCAAGTGACCAAAGGGAATAGACATTGACAAATTTCAGCCCAAGAACAGGAAACAAGTATGTAAGACTGGTCAGATCTGAAACTCTAGATGCTACAAGAGCATTTGGATTTAAATTGGCTATGCAAAAATATCCGGTTATGTTCAGTACTGCTTTAGTGTAGAATGGAAATGCTTTTTGCAGATCAGTGAAATTCCAACATCTTGGCAGGGCTAGCTTATTCATCATAAAAAAAGCTAAACTAAAAACTCTAGAAATGACTTTTCTGAGACTTTTTAGAACAGCTATTAAAGAGTATTTTCTCATGTAAGCAAAAGAATGTGAAGGGATCACCACTACATGCACTGTCTGCATTTTGAAACTGGCCTGTTTGTAGCCTGTTACATTTGAACAACTTCCAAAATGTTACAGACCTGCTGAGCTAAGGACATATGAAATCAGCCCAGAGGAAATGCATTTTGGAGTGGAATACACTTCCAAACTAAGCAGTCTCGTGTTCTGGCACTCCTGGACACCCTGGCACTCAGCACTAAAGAAACCAGCACCACTGAACAGACTACTGACTCCTTCAAAGTACTGCTGTGACCTAAGTTTTTTCTTACTCAGAGCTACAAGCCCACAACATGCTGAACACTGCAAAGGACAGCTGTTTTACTCACTTCAGCATTAAAAACAGGGATGAGGGGAAAGCTGATGTATAGGAATGTTATACATACCTGTCTAAATTTAGCTCTAGCCTCCTTTTCCTTCATTCTTCCATGTGCAACCAGATAGTCAAACACCTCCCCTACAATTCAATGAGGATATGCATTAATGCCAATTTCAGAATGTAGAGATTCCTCTCCAGCAGTTGCCCACAGCAGCTTCACCAGAATGACTGTACTTCAATTTTATGATTACAGGACAGCTCAAGAGAACAAGGCAAAACTGCTGTGCAATTTACTACATCATCATCTCTTTTACAAGAAAGTAATGAGTGACTGGATATACACAAAGGAAACCATTTCCTCCCAATTACTTAGGATAGAAACTGAGCAGCATACTTCTGTTTTGTAAACAAAGATGACATCTACCCCTTCACAGATTTTCTCACAAGTTTCTTTTGCTTCAGAAAAAAAACTGCTTCATATATGAGAACAGTTGATGATATTTGTAAATATCATCATACCAACGTGAATTTTAATCTGTGCATATGTATAAAATGGTTCTAAACAAAATCAGAAACCTTAGCTTTAACCTAGGCTTGGAAGAGGTACCCACAAGGAGGGACACAAGAACGAGCACAGCAGGACACATTGATAGAATCTCTCACACAACCATCATACCTGTAAACTACACTGAGCAGTGCCACTGTTGTGTGGCTGTGGATAACGAAAGATTACTGAAGATCTACTATATTTCGGTTTTTCCCCCTCTTTAATCAATGCAGTCATCTTAGAGCACCTCAATAATGACTACAATGTTTGAGCTTTAGGTGCAGGCCACTGGCCCATGAAACGCTGACACATTTGTAAAAGCATGGGGAATTTTCTTTACTAAAAACCAACAGTCATGTACATAAGAACTACAAACACAGAATAATAACACAGTTTTTAAAAGTCCTCACCACTATGCAAAAACCATAAAATCTTCAGAAGTGGTTCAAATATTTAAACATTCCCTACTGAGCAAGGAAACACGGTTTTGGTAGACAGCCACCTCACAAGGGAAGAGCTGAGTAATAGCATATTTATTTTTTTAAAAGACACAACTCCACCAGATTGCAATAAAAAAGTAATCACACTGCAAGAAAAGCATCAACTGAGCCATCTGAGGGAATGTCAGGACTTCCTATAAAACAGTCTTCCCTCTGCAGTGTATTCTTTAATACTCAACTCAGGTAACTCTCAGCTGTATTTCACAGGTTTTCTTAAAAAACCTTGAAGCAGCAAACCTGAACGTTTCTTCATAATTCAGGGAAAAAGACACCAGGGAAAGAATTATCCCCAATTTATATGAAGCATTGCAGCTGTAGCAATAATGTCTCTCATCCTGCAGCCAGAGTTCATGTGCATCATGATGACCCCTACCTTGATAAAGAGGAAATAGGGAAACTGATGCCTGCCACTGTGATTAGCAGCCATTGCTGTCTTGAACAGCATGGCACATCAAAAGGTACTGCTCTTGGCCTTTTAGACCAGTACAGTACTTACTTCTCCCTTATCACCCTATGAAAGGTCCTCACTCCTTTAGAGAACCACTGGCCTTTCTACCTCCTAGAAGCCAATCACTAGATGGCAATAAGACTTCACTTTTAAGTGTAGTACTATCAAAAAACACAGAGATGTCTCCCCAAACACCTGCACTAGTCAGTATTTTAATGGTACAATACCCACTCTCTGTTCCTGTTTAAGCACATCTTGGCTGAGCATTTAGGAAGCTGCTGGAAGAAAACACAGGTAGGCAGAGAATCTTGCTGTATTTGTAGCAATTGATTAGACTTCACATAATCTAATGTAAGAGTCTGAATTCAATGCTGCTTTTCCCTGAAAAAAGTCTATCTCCTTCCTAAACCTAAAGAAAAGCTTCAACTGTTTGAGATTCCCAGATGCTGGTGCTCAAGGGTCACACTGACAAGCTGAGTGATATTAAGTTCTAGCCAGCAAGGAGTAACTTAAGCCTGAATACCTTAATTCTGGCTCTGGTGAAAATATCTGACACTCCAGGATGTGCATTTTTCCATCCCCTCCTCAATCAGGAAGAGCATTTAAGCTACTCCTAAAATGGCATAAGGCTAAGCCTAAAAATTCTTGACAGTAGAAGGCCTGTGATTAAGACATGTAAGATGTCATCAACATCTAAAAACAGAAGTTGCAGTCCTCATGCTTTTGAAAGTAACAATTAAAGAAACACAGAAATGTTTCATCTGAACATGATTTACCAAATATCTTATACAAAATAGGACACCAGAGATACGGAATGGAATACAACAAATTGAGAACATTATTATTTATTATAGGCAGGAACAATCAGTGGCTGAGAAAATATTTCAAATTAATCTGAATTGTGAAGAAAAAGCAAATGTTACTAAGTTCCAGTAAGTTTAAAAGCTGGTTTTACAAGTTACATTCATTATTTGTGTTAACCAAACAAGTCCCAGTGAACATTAAAGATTTTGCTTAATATTTTACACTACCTTGACATAAATATTTGCTGAAAAAGAAAGTAAAACTTTCAAGAAAACAAGTGCTTTCTCTCACTTGGCATTTTGCTTACATGTGTCACGGCAGCAAAGAGGTACTTACCCCCACTTGCATATTCCATTATTAAATAGAGAGTTTTTTCAGTTTCAATTACTTCAAATAGCTTCACTAGAAAAGAAAGACATTTAGTCATCAGTTAACTAGCTGCAAAAGCATTATGTTAACCCCCCACAGAATTCTGTGAAAGAAAAATACCCAAACTGTTTGCCTGCCACTTGATAATATCAGACTATTTACTCTAAAGAAGCTTTCTAATGTTCTAATCTTTCTAATGTCTAATGCTCCTAAGCAGACAATACTGTAACATATTTGGTCAACTCATACAGAACAACATATTCTCAACAAACAATATTTTGCTTCTGTTACATGGGAACATAACTAAACTAAGCAGAATATGCACAGACTGGAGCATCAGCAATAGCCACATATGTGCACTGAACTGACACACGTGGTGACAAATCAGTTACCAGTCCCACAGTAGCACTACATCATTTAAATGCACAAACTTGAAAAAATTCTTGACCACTTCTTGGTTTTGGTGTATATGTTAATTTTTAATGAGAGCCTGAATCCAGTCAAAAATCAATACTATACTCAAAAAGAGCAAATTTATCAGTTAGTTATGCAAATATCAGTTCTGTGCAAACGGACCAAAAATGTTTATTTTACTTTTTTTTTTAAACACACAGTTCTGAAATACTATTTACTATTGCTGTTTTACAGTAAATTCAGACTCTAGGGCAAAACAATCTTTTAAACTCATGCCACGACAATCTTAACAGTGAAAAAATGATAACTTCTCCAGAGATGGAAATTATGTGAAAGAAACAAGATACCTATATTTGGATGATTTAAGATCTTCATTATTCTTACTTCTCTAAAGAGCTGAAATAGACATAAAATGTGAAATAAGTTAAGGAAATCACTAACAAACAGCCGTTCTCCTTAAAGACTGATGACTTTGATATAGTAATTTAAACAAAAAGGACAAACATTTCAGTGATGTTCATGAAATAAGCAATTATTGAAGGGAAGAGTTAAATGTTGCTTAACACCCCTTCCAAACAAATCAACCCTCAAAAACCTGAAAACACCCAGGAAAGACTGTAGACAGCACAGGAAAGAAGTGACCTTAGCCCTGTGGTTTGCAGACTTTTGGGGTCAGAAGACCATTGTGAGCCCACGCAGCTTCCTGCTGACCAGGACATCTCACACATCTTTCAGTCCCTTCACAAAAAGTACAGTTCCAAATTTTTGTGACTCTCCACCAGAACAACTTTAGAAGACCACTGCAGTATGTTACTGGTATGAATTCAGCATTCTTCAGTACTTTGCTAAAGCCCAGGAACCTGTGATCTGCTGTGCTACAACAGCACATCTACAGGTGAAAAACCAGCTTTTATAGTGTGTAAAAATCATGTTATCCAACCACATCAGCAAGGAGCAAGTTCTAAGGAGAGAAGGGAAGACAAGGCCACTCCTCAGCCCTTCAGAAGCATTGCTGCAAGGCAACTGAGGCACAGCAGCACCTAGTCCTGGGTCTGCCAGCACAGCCCACTGACTTCCAGACACAGCCTCAAGCCTGCCCGGTGCCCAGTGCAACACGCTGAACGTGCCTGCCAAAATTAATAGGGCAGAACACAAACGGTGTTTTCCTGACCCCTCCGTGCTGCTTCCCTTTATGCAAGCACTGCTGTTAACCCTGACTGACACACCAGGTACAGGAATTATTTAACAGAAAAATCTCACAAAACACACCACTCCCCTATATCAAAGCACTCCATCTCTAGCCCACCCAGCAGGATGGTGGTGAGGGACAACTGCCCATTTCAAACTGCAGGATGACATTATATCCCCTGTTCTAAATCCAGAGATAGTGTACTGATTGTAAGGATATTGTCATGTTTCATGTCCCCACTGCCAATACTCATGTGAAGAAGGCTTTGCCTGAGTAATTATTTCTAAAGATTTCAACTCTGCCTGTCACACAGAGCAAACTGTCCTTCTGCAACTGAATGAAAATATGGAGTGACATTTAACAAACTAGAAATGAAAGCAAAGTCATGACTGAAGTTGTTAACTATTTTCACCTCTCAAAACGCTTCTGCAAAAGACTATTGTAAGATACACATAAATTCATAACTGTAATACTAAAAATGCCACAGGTGGTGTTACTGCAATATAAAACATTGCTTTGAACAAAGCTGGTAAATAGCAGATTAATTAAAAGCAGTTCCAAGATAAAATATTATTACAAAACACATGAAGCAAAAATACTCTTATATTCAGAAAACCAAAGAATTCTCTTTTTATGGACTACACTACATGGCAGTTAAGTGTGTAGCTGTTCTCCCTCGGCAGCTCACCCGTGCCAGCCCAAGACTCCAGAGGGCTTATGTTCTTCAGTGTCAATTATCTTCTAACAGCATGCTTCAAAAAGTGGGAGTAATCAAGAGGTTTTATTAGAAACCTAACAGAAATTTCTACAGGACTATCAGCAACCTAACAGATCATATTGAACTTCATGTAAAGAGACTGAAGCAGAAGTCCGTAGCTCCAAGGGAATGCAGACACAGGAAAAAAACCAAGAGTCTTGCAAATATGGGATAGGGATAACAGCATTGTTAATTACAGTAAGGAAAAAAAAGTGCTGATGGAAAATTTGGCTCAGGTCAGATTTCAGATAAAGTGAAGAAATTTTGTAGGTCTACACATATTAGTAACAACTCAAAAACTTGTAGGTGTATTTACTCAATTAAAAAAAAAAAAAAACGTGAAACATTAGAAACAAACAGAAAACAACCAGAGAGTCAACAAAACAAAATCCTTATGCCTTGTGATTTTTAATAAAAGAAAATGCAAGGGGTGGATTTTAAATAAATCAAGAGGACAAATTCCCAATTTGGAGACCAGCTGTTCTAACCATTCTCTGCTTTCTGATATTTCAGAATCATAGAATTTCTGCAAATGCCAACATCTGGGGAGCAATCCTCACTGCACTGCCCAGGAGACCTCCCTGCTACAGCCACAGCTGGGACTGGCACACTACCTGAATACAGAGGAAAAAACATACAGTTTTCCAAATGCTTTTAATTATCTTGTTATCCAGGTCTGTGCTTGACACTTTGCTAGATGACAAGCTGCTTAAATGCAATCAGGATTGATTGATCAAGTAAATTATTGGCCATGCAAAATAGTTTCAAAACCACTGTGTGCATGTTTTCTTTATCCTCTAGAGAGGTAAAATTGCCTTCTTTTCTTTTTTAAGCTATGTTATTTCTGGAGCTTTTTCATATGTAATTAGACAGGGTAGACTACATCATCTCTCTCTTGATCATCAGGAATTTAAAAGTGGTCGAATTTATATCTATTTTTTTCTTACTTTTCATTCATTTCAGCTAAACTGGTATATAATATATTCTGAATACTCCATTAATACTTTTAATCACAGCTTACATAACTGAAAGCCTCTTATCAGTTTTTTACAATTTCACTCTCAATTGATATCTTCCACCCCCAGTACCCAGATAAAGCCTACTGGGTCATATTCTTACCAAAACACTGGTCCAGAATGACTACTCTGCTTTACTAAAGCATGTCAAAAAGCAGCTTCTATATTACGAGCCTTTTGTTCAAGTGGGTGACTGGGAACAAGCTCTTTTAAAAAACAGACTATTTCTGTCTCAGAGGAAATTAAAAATAAAAATACTTGAGAATAGGAGACAACCACCACCAAATTGGAATTTTCGTTAGATAACTGCACTTCAGATTGTGCACCCTTAGTTTATCTGTTTTATGTCGCATTTTCACAGATGGGGATACCTGCAAATGCCTGACATTGTAATATATATTATAGTCTATTTCTGATAGAGGAATAAAATGTAAAACATCATACAACTTTCCCAAATTATGCTGGATAAAGGTTTTACAGATTTCATTCTCCCAAAATATTATGTGTATCAGCTTCTAAGAAATGACGTAGTAGCTATCATCACACCAAAAATTCATTACAAACATCCAGGTAATGATAAAAACTCACACCTCTGAGGTTCCCTGGCCACAGGAACACAAAACAAGGTGTAATATCAGAAAATGTAACACAAAGGTTCTCAGTACCAAAAAATATTTTCTTAGTTTTAGGAACTTACTTGTCATAATGAAACTATAAAGTCAGACAAACAACTGAAAATAGTTTTCATTAGTTTGATTTCTAATACTGAGTTACTCCCAGCTTGTTGAACAGCTCGTTTTCCGTCAACAGGAGCTCTACAAATGTTTCCAGGCAAAGACAAACATCCTTAGTCTGCCAAACAAATGGCTTTCAGCTTTGTTGTGGTCTGGTCCTTTGAGTGTAAGCCATGTCAGATACAGGAAAAGAATGCCATTTAATTAATGCTGTGAGCCAAAAAAGTGAATAAAAAAACCGAAATGAACCAGCAATGGAAGTTGGTTCTTTTAGGCTAACTCTCTTTGAAGACAGCAAAAGACAGACTAGAAGTGCTCCTGCAGTAGCTACAAGACTGGAACAAATTATTTTAAAAATACTGAAAAAGTTTGCTAAAAAGTGAGTCAGTACCACCTGCAGAGCACCAACCTCTCCTGGTCACCTTCTCCTTAAAGAAGGAGGCTTTTCACAGATGTTGTCCCAAGCCAGCTCAAGCCTGACTTGTGTATTGGGCTTCTCCTGGTAACTGCTCACTGAAATATGCCCTACATCTAATAAAGAGCCTCAAGCAAAAAGCCTTTACACAATACAAGTTTGCCTCAAACTAAGCACAACTTTAAAACAGAAAGGGATACTCGTTACAAACAGAAAAGCCTGAGCATTTTAAATTCTCTTCCTTTTCTTGCAGTTCTTAAAACACTGACCCATGGTCAGCAAGGACATGAACCATGTTAAAATTGATGTTTAAGAGCACTAAACGCTTTAACAATAAGTATTGCCCAAGTAAGTGGCAAAACATCTGCACAAAATGAACAAAAATATTTGGCTGAGGAGCCAAGTTCTAAAAGAGGAAAATGAGAAGGGATTTAGCACTATTACATGGGCTTGCTAAAAAAACCCTTGCATGTAATAGCATTGCTAATTCAAAAGAAAAAAAAAAGTTTGTCTAGGAGGAAGGGAACTCTGTAGCATCAGCACTTGTTTGCAGTGAGACCAATATCCACTGGAACTGCATACACACGTCCATTGGTGGAGAACAGCGATTATGACTAACACCACCAGCATGAGAAAAAACCTCTAAGAATTCCCTTTTCTTTCAAAGCAGGGAAGTACCAGTTACAACTTCCTCTTCACTAAGCAAGAGCAGCAGAGCAGTAATTAAGTCCTAAAACAACAGTAAAGTTTAGCTGCATGTGGCTGCCACAGAACTTCCTCAGCAGCAGACAAGAAACCCGACCCTTCCAAGAGCTGTGCTGCTGAGTATCAGTATCGAGCTGTCAGGGCTGCAGAGAGGGCATACCAAGAATTACTGCTCCGGAAAGCAAAGCAAGTCCTTAACAAGGTTAACTTCTTCCTGGCAGCTGAAGTATCGATGTGGAAGATGGAACACAAAGAAATCAGAACTGGCAGCCTTTAATCACCATTTGTTTCCCCACCTAAAGATGACTCGGGCATGCAGCTACACCGCAGCTGAGACACTGTACACCACACCCTCTTCTGGGCACAGCCCTTCCCTCCCCACCATACCTCAAATATTTTATCTCTCTCTCCAGAAGTGCAAGATCAGAAGCACTTCCATCTCAGCTTCCCCTGCTGAGATCCACAGGTCGCGTGTGCAGTCGGCTCCAAAGGCACCGAGGCTGCGGCACTGCCAGCAGTGCTGGGGGGAAAGGGGCAAAGGCTCGCAAAATAAAAAGCCTTGGTCAGGCACAGCTGGCAAGTAGCTTGTTGTGCATTCAGTCTGCTGCCTATGGCAAGCAGGCACTAAAGCTTAATAAAACTGCTTTCAGTTTTTGAATTGAAAACTGATACATCTTGCTAATTTTTTTCTGTGCTCGTATAACAGATGAGCTCAGAGAGGAGAGCACATTAGCAATTTCACTCCACAAATTTGACCTGATTTCTACCCTATTTGGTACTATTCTTCCAGGCTCCCAGTTAAAAAATCCAGTTCACAAGATCATACTATAAATCACACTTCATAATCTAATTTTTAAAATTGTAAATAAAAATTAAATTACAACAGAGACAGAGCCGTGAGTGGACATTGAGCTGGCTGAAATCCAGTAATCAAAGGCACATCATGCACACTTCCACCTGGTGGCTTTACCAACTGAACACTTGTGACTGGTAAAAGGTTTGTATTGTACCCCGATATGAGCAAACTGACATTAGAGCCCAATCTCAAGTAACACCATTTGAAGGATTATGATTTTACATTTTTAACTGAAAAGATGACTTCTTTACTTCTCTCTGACCATTCTTCCCACGCCCTGATGTTTCCCCTTTTTATCACATAGCTTTTGTTTCACTTTCAAGTGCTTCAAGCCTTCAACCATTTTTATTTAGGTATTCCAAGCTGCAATCTGCCACAGAAAACAACTTTATCTAATCCATCATATTACCTAATTTGCACTTTATTTTCACCCTGCAATAACCTCAGAGACTAAACTGAGAAAAATTCTGAGAAAAATAGAACCAGATTATCTACTTTTACCCCATCTACAGGCTCATAAAAAGTTGCTACCTGCTCAGATGACAGCGCCTTCCTTCTACAGGTTATTCTTTGCCTCCTAATGAAACCATAAAATGTAAGAACTTGTGTGTTTTTCCAATTTACTTTTGCACCATTAATCTTGATAAAAAAAATCTACTCCCATGATCTTTTTAGTATTTGAATAAAATACAAATGTGTATATTCTCCCATTTACTCTAGTTACTCTCTTTTCATTTTGTTTGCAGGTAAATTCTGTGTATTCTCTTGTTCAAACAGAAATATTTCAAGGGGGTTATTATCCAAGTACTCAAAAGTAAACAAAAAACCTTTGACTGCAGCACTTAAAAGGCCAGAGTTAGAGAAGTCCCAGTAAAAATAACATTTAAATGTATTTCCTGCATGGACTCCCAAACAGACTGGGTTGCTTAATGCAAGAGCAGGGTTTATCACTCTGTACTTTTTAAAAAGATAAGGCAATACAACTGTAACAGCACATTAAACATTCAGAGCTAGAGGGAAGAAACCAGAATAGCCATGGCCTAATTTGTTTCATACAACTGCATCACCTCTCCTGCTGCAAACTACATGAAAGGCACAGATACTGCAAGGCCTTCAGTGCACAGGCAGTATTTTCAAGGCCAGTTTAAGAAGACAGAACATGAGTTTTGCATTTCTAAGTTGAACAAAGAGACTGGCACATGGAGAGGAGACATGGGGGCATGACATCAAACCACAGACGTCCTCTCTACAGAGTCAGCTCTGCTTGGGAGACAAAGGAAGTGGCAAATACCACTGTTTTCTCAGTTTACAGCTCTGTACAAGATCAGCTTGAACAACTGCAGGGTTGTCAAAAATATCTGTTACAAAACCAGTTATTAAATACAGTAGTCAGACATATGCAAAGGTATGCAGTGCTTCAGATTCTCCAGCACAGGCATTCAGGGTTAATGGAAGAAGGTGGGGAAGCGAACAAGTTATAATACAGTTGAAAGATTAAATGTAAAAACATACCTTTTGTAGACTAGTTGGGTTCAGCTGTGTTTTGTCAATTATTTTTATGGCAACCTAAAGGAAGAGTTCATGATCAGTATTTTCCATAAGTACAATACTGTGCTATTACAACATGCTCAAATCCAGTAACAGAAATGGAAAACATGAAAATTGCACAAAAACGCTTAAGTTCCTTCTGCAAATTATGTACTTGTATGTAAACTAGAAGCAGGAGTGGAAAAACCCTGGTATTTTAAGGATATTAAGATGAGAAGCTTGCTGAGTCTTTGACTTGACATTGAGACCATCACTCATGGCAGTGGAAGCTCCAACAGCAGACAGTGCCCCAATAGAGAGCAGCATGCCTACAGATAATATTTACACAGTATAATTACACAACAGATTATACAGTAGTGACTGGGCATTGGCAGTTTCTAATAGCAGATATTTCAGAGCATATTGAAAGCATTTCCACACAAATTTGGCAAGAAGTAACTTCATCTTTTGGAATTCACTAAATACTTGTCAATTTGCTCCCTGATGGGTATTAAAAAAAGTATCACTTGGGAATCAACAAAAACACGTTGGCTGCAGTACAACATTTTGGGTAAGTACATTCCTTTACTTGTTCTCTTCAGTAAATGCTGCACAGAAATAGTAAAGAACAAAATAAAAATTTCACATAATAAGCAAAAGAGAAATTCCATACCATGCTAACTAGTCAGAACTTGAAGATTTGAAACAATGAATAGGCAACAGAAACTTCAGTGCAATGCAGTTTGGATACTGGATGAGGTAGAACAAGAAATGAGAATCTTTCCAGAATTACACACCAATTGGTATTTTTCCTTTCTAAATTAGTGACTAAACGTACCAGAAGAAGCTCTACAGAAGGAGATGGTGCCTCTCAAAGAGGCAAGATGCTGCAACTCAGCTGATTCTAATACCTCACTGGTGCAAAGGCTTTTAACTCCACTTCAATTTTTGGCTCAAACAGTAGATGCTGCTCCTTCCCATGCCACAGCTCCCATTTCCCTGCATCACTTTGTGCTATCTTTGTCACCTCATTAACTTGGGGCTGGTGACATATGGAATACAGAATACCTTACATCAAAGCCAATTTATATCCCTACATTCAAGTGCAAAAACACAGCGATGGATTGTCACGATGGAGAGGGTAAGAGGGGAACAGCGTTCAACACTTGGGTGCATCACAGAATTACATAATGGATATGGTGTTTTTCTGAAACTGATATTCAAGACTTATTTTGAGCTCTTCTAGATGCAAGATACGACGAGACATGATTGAGAAGCCATCTAAGAATGCTTTTACTTTGGGGAGTGTTTTCTTCTAAGGCAAGCTACTGAAATTAAGGATCACTATTTCCCAAGGCAAAATTCCATTGCAAAACCTTGAGAAATCACTTCAAAAATACAAACGAGAGAGGAAAACATTAAGCAATAGGTATTTTTATATTAGCAGCTGTGTACCAAACCAAGAAAGATCTTTATCTCTACCTTTATGCCTGTTGTTAACTTTGTGACAATAGTTCAAAGTTATTAGCTTTCTGCAATCTCTTTTAATTCCATGCTGGATGTAGTGACCACTGCCTTTGCCAACAGCAGATAATATTATTTGAAAGTGACTTGGTGCCCCAAGACTACCCATAGCTGTTCACTTGGTAAGTGCATTCCACCCAGAAAAGGTTGCATTTGTGTCCTGGGCTGTACCATTCTGGCCAATCTTTAAAAGATGTAAACCCTTTCCAATCCACCAAGTCTTAAGATACCCTGTTACTGCAAAACTAGCTTACCTCAGTGTGCACTTGGTGCCAGATGACCAGAAAAGTCTCTGACACTGCCAAACAGATTCAGCCCTGGAGATACAGGGAAGGTATAGACCTCAGTTTTCCAAGACAGACTCTCAGGCTCGTTCAGTGCACTAATTATAGCCTTAAAGGCAAGGTGAATTTAGAGAATTTCTATCCACATGAACACTGAGAGTACAATGTGTTAACATGGACTGTGAGGGCTTGAACCCATCATCAGAACAGGGAACAACTTCAGGTGCCTTGATAAGGCCTCCAAATCACAGGCAAAGGCAGCCTGCCCTCAAGAATAGTTATGAGAACTCTGAGAAAGTTAAATGGAGAATTTTCTAAGTACAGTCAATAAAACATTAAATTGCCTTTCAAAGCAGAAACTTTGCTCTCTTTACATAAAGTGCATTTTGAATGGTTTCATGTACTGTGAGCTAGGGCCAGTGCTGGAAAAATGCAAGACCACCTACACTATTACACCACTGCCACGATACTATGTGTGAAATTGTTAACAGAGTTAAAACTGAGTTTGCTTTCACCAGTCACAATAATATAACTTAAAACATTCCTCCTACATGATTTGAATAAGCGAGTTAAAGAAATCAGAAGTTGGGACACTGAGCAAATTGGCCAAACTGCTACCATTCAGAATGTTTTCTCCCTCTTAAATTTAACTTTTTCCAAGAGAAAAACAGAAAGAAGATGACAATAGATTCCTTGGAGTCAGACTTAGATTCTGAAAGAATTCAGCCTCACCAGGAAACTTCAGCTTCCTTGCTATTAACTGAACATGTCTTTAATGAAAAAAAGGGTCCATAATAATTTTGGCCACCTCAGTAATAGCAGAAAGTAATTTTATCTTTTAGATTCATTTTGGCAAGTACAGAAAACTTGCCAGAGGAAACACCCCTTGATAAAACTACAACAGAAAATACATGGATTGCAGTCAAAGAATTAAGAAAAGCAGATAGACAATGAAGACTTGTGGTTTCAAAAGGGCAGGCAGGCTACAAATAACACTTTCTTAGGCAGAGGATCAAGAAGGATGGTGTGCCCAAGCACCAGCTCTAATGCAGTGAATCTAATCTCTGGCCACACACTCCTTGCAAGACAATTCAACCCCCTCAAGTTAGGCTGATGTTCTGATCATCCCCTGAAGGGCTAAACATTTCTTCCTTTCTGTAATTTGAAGATGGGCTCTCATCATGTGTCCTGCAGACACTAAAATGGAAATGAAAAAGAGTCCTAGAACTTAGTCCAGTTGGAAACATGAAATCTTCATCTCAAGCAACAGGAAAATCCCCAGGGAAGGACTCTAGATGCAAGGAGATGAGCAACTACCCTGAAAGAATGCTTAAACAAACATCTCCTCCTCCCACAAAGTGACAGAAAAGTGCTGATCTGCTTTAGGATTTGGAAGCTCCTCAGCACAGAGGTATAAAAAAGGAATTGCCATAAAGTGAAACTGACATGGTCACTTGAAAGGACATTCAGAAAAGAGACACAGATAACAAGGAATAGAAAGTGGGGTTCAAATACAGCAAGAACACAGCAGAGAGGAAAACTCATTTAAGTGTAACTCCCAAAACTAAGCACTTAGTTTAGGTTTTGGTACATAAGATTAAAAAAAAAACAAACCAGGAACAAAGACAGGACAGGCAGCAGGAGCAAGTGTGTAAAGCAGGAAATCACAAATTCAGAAAGCTAAGTGCCATCTGGCTGAGGCCAGGCTGAGAATATGACCCTGGAATTCTTATGAGAAGTAGGTTTTTAAAGGAGAAAGAAAAAAAAAACAAAAACATTCTTGCAGCACAGGTTCCTAGCATCTACCAGGAACAAAACAGCAGAGCAGGGTTTAAAAATGAGAAGACAACTTTTTCCAATTCATCATAAAATTCCTGAACTCAAAACTGGCAGGGAAAAAATCAAGGAAGCAGAATGTTTAAATGCAACATATTTTCCTACAGTTAATGTACCCTATGAAAACACAAGATATGACTACCTGGACTATTGAAAAGCCTCGTCTAGGAGGCTGCATGGAAATTTTCCAACTAGATAAGCTGAAAAGTGCACAGAGTCGTGGGGTTTTTTCCTAAAAAAGGTGCCTAAAGAGATATTAGGTTGGAAATAAATGAGTAAGAGTCTTTCAAGGATAAGATTTTGGGACCAATCTTGTTTAATATCTGTATCAGCGGCCTTGGCACAGGATGTCACACCACAATGATTAAGTCTGTTACAGGAGTTAAGAGGCACCATCAAATACAATAGAAAACCAATTTAAACAACCTTGGAGATGAGTTAGCAATGAAACTGATTCAACATACAAGGTTGGTGCTGTTGCTGATCACAAGCAAAACACATCAATTTAACAGTCACGAGAAAGGTTAGCACAATCTTAAGATTGATCAGATAAATACTTCTGTATGGCCAAGGGTGAAGTAATGACATTGGGGAAATTGCTATCCAGAATATTGGATATAATTCTGGTCACAGACGTCTAAAATTATCAACATGGTACAGTTTTTCTAGCAATAAGACAAATTTTACTCATCTCCCTCTTAAGAAAAAAAAAGTTTTAAATATCTTGCAGATATTCCTATAAAATTAGCTTAATTGTTCCATTCTAAGGAATAACACTAATTCCAATCAATGGTCACAACTCAGAAAGAATTTATTCTCTGAATTTATTGAACTATATCAGTTCTGTGAGAGTGGAAACTTAGTACTCCAACCTTTCCAAATTTAGCCAAAAATGTTACACTGTCCCCTTCATTTGTTGAAATTTCAAACAAAAATAATGAACCAGAGGTCAACACAGTTATCTGCAAGTAAAGGACAATGTACTTCACTTTTTGCAAAGTGTGACACATATCTACCTCCAAGTTCAACACCTATAATAATAACAAAGAAATACTAACCAAATACTTGCATATCCCATCTTACGGATCAGTAAAAAGAAGAGGAAACTAAAGTGGAAAGGAATTAACCAAGAACTTTCTCTACAAACAAGAACTGACTTTAACATCAGAAGACAAAAGGAACTGTCAGCCAAAAAAAAAAAAAATCCATCTCAAAAGCTCTGGCAAAACATGTCCCCTCTCTTCTTCCCTCCGTTCCTGCTACTGAACTCCATATTAGCTCAGAAAAGAGAAATTCCCTTAAAGCACTGCAGTCAGCAATACAGCTTCTGTAAAAGTCCTTGCTGGTATCAGCAAACATTTACTTCATCAAACAGGTTTGGTAAGAATAGGTCAGCAAGGTTCTTCTCCCTCTTTCAGTACTTGAGAGTCGCTTTTAATAAAAAAGCACCAAAAACCACCTTATTGTAACAAGCAGACAGGACTATAGCTACCAAATCAGAACCACCACTAAGTGCAAGTGATTAATTACATTGCAATGGCATGCAGAAACTAAATATGGAGCTGAGTTCAACTCCAAGAAGAGATGCTAGAGAAAGCTTATCTATCCTACACACATAGAGCAAACTGTCACTGGCACATAGACTATCTCTGAACAAACTGAATCATCTTCCCAAAGCCACCCAACACTGCAGACACCCTGGGATGATCCACTCTGGGATTCCTGGGAAATACATTGCTTTGGCAAGAAAATACTGCATTTGGGCTACTTGGAACATAATTAAGACAACATTTAGCTCTCATGCCCAACTTCGCCTCCAATACAGCCCTGCAGTGTAGAGAAACTAAGAGGCAGTCTTTCCAACAAGCTTATTTAGTTGCTGTATATTGATCTGCTTTTTGAAAATGGAGGATTTATCCAAGAATATTAGTAGCAAAATTTAACATAATTCAGCTGGACAGAGACCTGTCAAAAATACAAGTTTAAGAAACCATTTTCAAGAGAAATTGCTTTGTAATAATTACTAAAAAAAATAGTTTTCAATTTCTGCGTTTTTCTACATCAGTGGCAATAACTCTAGTAAAATGTGCTCTATCTTCACTTAGATGATGCTATTCCAAGAGAACCTTCACACCTACAGCAACTCACTGCTGTTTACACCCATACCACTTTACCTCTCTGCCAGTTAGGATGTGCCTTGCCAGTTTCACTTTTGCAAAATTCCCCTTTCCAATGGTTTTAAGGAGTCTGTAATTTCCAATGTGCGGCTGCTCATCGGCACAGGAGGCTATGGAGTTCCTGCAGCGAGCTCCAGAGCGCCCAGTTCGAGAGGAAACTTCCTGCCGTCCATCTCCATGGGACGTGTGCTGCAACAAAAACATACACGGGTAAGGCTGAGGAATAAAGACAAAGCACACCAATGATGACAAGCACACAATATTCAAAAACGTCAGCAATGCCTTTGAAGAAACCTTCAAAGGATCCAAACTTCATGTTCACACTGAACTTTGCTCTGATGGGGGCAATAAAGTGGTGCCCAGTTCACAACACAATATTCACCTCATCACCTGCTAAAGCCAGTGGAACATCACCTGCACTGCAGCAACAGCTGAGCACTTCTAAGTAACTTACATGGACTGCCAGATCATGTACAAAATATGGAGGTGTTTGATATTATTTCCCATTTGCATTACTGTGCTTAATTAGTGCATGAAAGCCTTTGGAAAGGAAACATGAATACAGATTTTCCAGGAGCACAAACTGTTAACAGTTACTGGACAACTTACATTAATAAAATAATAAAAGGGTTTTTTTCCTTGTGGTACTAAACTTGTGTTCCTACAGATCCACATGACTGAAAATACCCAGGATGACCTGGAGAAAAATGGAAGAAATCTTATCTAATGTACTGAAACCTTGAATATTGATAGCCAGTTACAGAGATCTGAGACACTGTCTGCAATCTTTCAAGTTCCTTTCACTCTCATTTCACTGAACAGCTACTAATTGCAAAAAGGAATGGTTATATATTATCTATAACAGTCTTTACTCATTAGATCACATGGTCAAGATAAAGGTATTTTTTCATTTCCTGACGGCCTGTTTATGAAAGAGCAGGTGCCCTATTATGTTCCTAAGTTATGGTTGAGATCCATACACCAACTACACTAATTAAAATATTAGCTGGAAATGATTAGGGGCCTCCAAATGCAGAGCAAACATCCGGCTCCACCAAAGATGACACATTAGATTCACAGTCATCCCAGAAAACCCAGATCTTGCTCTTCTACTACTACTCCTCTTTCTGAAACCCATTGAGGGCAACAATGAAACTGGCATACAGCAACATTCAGTCTGAAAATCACTGTACCGTGAGGATGAGATCATACTTCAAGAGTAACAACCATGGTACAGGCACAAATGAACAAATCCATGCTTGCATGACACTTGGCAAGTTTCACTTGCCTGATGTAACCTTGTGACCAAATACTCTGACATCTTAGGTTCCTTGATTTGTTAATTTGAGTGCAACAGCTGTGATCAAATTATCTTTAAAACCACATTAAGTTAATTTTAAAAAATGCTACTGCTAGGAGTCTATGGCAACTGGAAAATGGTTTCAATAGTTACTATTTTAAAAAACACACAATGTTTTAGTATCAATCTGGCTTTAGATTCTCCTTACTGCCTGGCTACTGCATTGCCCCAAGATTTGCACTTCCCATAGAGGTACTTAATTTCTCTGATAGCAATACCCTTTCACTTTAGTAAGTGATATGAAGTGATATGTATATTGAGCTCCCTAAACAGGCTGCTGTACAAGTGATTGAAGACAAGGAAACATGTCCTGTACTTCTGTTGAGAACCCTCCTCTATTTTTCCAACATTTTTTGTGGGGTTCATGATAGACATGAACCTACCATACCAAGAGTAGGTGCAGCAGGACTAAGCACAGAGGTTTCATCTTCTGTTCAACACCCCACTGATTTCAAAGGGGCAGAACTAACCCTCTTTGCAGAAGACCTGCAGAAGATCTGTACCTGACCACCCAACCCTGATTTACTGATTCTCATTCCTGGATCCTTACATGCATGATCACATTTGGCTGAAGTGAAATGCAAAGTTTCCTTTCATGCAGAATATCAAGTGTTCCTGATGAGTGGCCCATCCTGCCCTATTTCATAGTTTAGCAATTTTATCACAGTTTTCAGGAGCAAGGGTACACGTTTTTTTCCAAACCACTAAGAACTGGCACAAGAACAAGAAGCACACCCGTAACAATATCTAGTAAAAATTCAAGGCTTGATAATAATTCAGTGTTCTCTAATATCTTGAGACCTACAACAACTGGATAAGTGTTTATCAATCAGTACTTCTCAAGGAGAGGAAGGACGAGCAGTCAACACCTGAAGGAACTACTAAAGACAGTGAAATCCTATATTAACCATTTCAGTATTTTGCATGTCCTTAATGTCAGGCTGGTGCTGATTTTTCAGGCCATCTTAGCCACCCCTGTGTACTGGCACAGTATTTCTGTATTTCCCTAAACTTTGACTTCTAACAAACCTTGCAACACACAATGCAGAGAACAACTCTGTCAGCTCCTTTCATACCTTTTAGTGTCAAATTATTCAGACCAGCTAGAAAAAAGCAGCAACTGCTGATGCTAGATGCTAACATCCTCCTACATTGCTACCCCTGGTGATCAGGGACCAGGATGTTCTGTACAGAGCCATGAGGAAATTTCTTGGATATATTAAAGGAAAGTTCATTTGAGTTCAAGTACAGCATCCCAGGAATACAACTGTTCTACTTACACTGCACTTCACTGAGTTGATAACTTTCCTAGGAAAAAGAAGTGTATCAAACTATTTAAACTACAGCCCTTCCACACCTGGGCACTTGGCACAAGCCGGCTTCAGCAGGAGCCAGACTGCCTCCCAGCAGGGCTTGTTAGCTTAGGCTCTCCAGCAGACAGATTCAACAACTTGAATTCAACAGCTTTTGAACCACCTAGCTGACTCTGAAAACACAGTAGTTGTGCTGCCTTGTGCTTGAACTAAAACACTATTAGTCCTGAGCTAGCCTAAGAAGAAGCTGAGATGTGGGCATCAGGTACAACATATTCCCAAGCCAGACCACAGGTTAGTCAAAATTTATCTAACTTGTAACCTACTTCACATAAGCACCATCAGGTAAAAGAAAGATTCTGTTTTACTAACAAACTCTATTCCACATAGTAAACCACCCAGTTATGTGTCTTGAGAGTTTCACTGACCTCTTGTTGAGAAATGACTAATTGTGTCCTACAATTTTTTTCACACTTCCTAGCTTTGCATTTAAAGGGTGGAATTAAAAGCTGCGAACTCATTTGGACTAAGGCTGATAAACTGAACACAATCTCCTTGTATGGAGGTTTGCATTTCCACCCCAACCCAGATTATTTCTTTTCAAGAATATGATCTTTTTCAGCTGTGGGTTTTAAGTATCAAGCTGTGCGTTCCTAAGCAGTTCAGCTCTCTCCAACTGATTTGCTCAAAGCCATGTTTCACTCTGAAGAAATTCAGCCATTTACAACCATATCTAATTTGGACTATATTCCACTTTACATAAATAAATCTATCAGCAAGTCCTTCTTCTGTCAGTTACATTATTATACTGAACAAACAGCAAGCTTTCTAAAAACCACAGAAAACAGATTGTCCATTTCAACATGGATTTTCTTTTGCATATGGAAATGAAGAGCATAAACTCAAAACTGAGTGAAACTGTTTCTCCCAACCTAGTCATTTTCAAGAAGCCATGACAGGCAGATGGAAAGCTAAATGGTGTAGGCAAAAAGCAAAATATAGGTGGTCCAATAAAAGCTCAAATCATGCATTGGTTTGTATAGCATCTGGCTCAAGTACATCCCAGGGCAGTTTCCTCAGCAAAGAGATTAACAGTGCCAATCTCAGCCCAGAGAAATGGCAACAGCATCCCCTGCTCTCCAAATCAAGATACAGGTCATTTGTCTTTTCCCTCGAATCTGCAGATTTTGCCTCCTTCACTACGCTGACCCCCCCTAAACTCTGTTCAATTTCAGGCTTCTTTTCCAGGTCCACATTTATATGGTTTCAATAAGATATGGGGTTTGTCTTAAAAACATAAGATTCAAAATTGGCCTGTGTTTATCTGTTATAAGTTTCCATACATTGTGGTAGGTGAGCTGTATTTCCTGGAGGTGTTTTCTGTAAGAATAACACTTGCTAATGAACTCACCATGGCTGAATGATTCCCAAAATACCTCTCATCATGTAAAGACCATTACACTGTAGAGGGAAACTGAGGCAAGGAGATTGGGTGCTTTGTGCAACTTCAGTTTTGCCAGCCACCACCTCTTTTAAAAGAAAAGTCTCTTGAAATCCACTCATGAAAATAAAGCACTTTCTTCCATATCTCGGCATGCGTCAGGTTGCATTTGAAATATCTTTTAAATTTCTTTTTTTGCACCATCCATTTTCAAGCTAACAAGACAACCTTTGTCATTAAAAAAAACCCCCAAACAAAACATTCTCCTCCTCCCCTCAGCCCCACCCTATTATTACTCAACCCAGAAGGAAATGAAGTAAAACATCTCCATTTGTGAGAGACCTTACTGCAAGGGAGGGACTGAACTCAAGACCAACTATATTTGGAACACAACACAAAACCCACCTTTTCGCAAAAGCCTTCCCCCAATGATGAGCCGACATCCTTTCATAGCCAGATAATGATTAGCATGAAGAGAAAGAAAAAAGAAAAGGAAAAAAAGTAAAAAGCAAATGAAGTATGAGGGTGTCAATAACTGAAATCTTTTTGGTAGATGTTAAGTTTTATCCGGTATCTGTATGGTTTCAGATATCTTAACATTCAGAGCATTAGATACACACAGAACAGGGGGTGACTAGCATCAAAGTTCTTGAAGTGCTTAAGATGCCAAAAGCTGAGGAAAAACCTGAAAGAAACAGAATCTGATATCCATTCGAAGAGCTGAAAATCAGTAAGAAATCAGAATGTCCAAGACCTGCAAAAATCCATGTTTAATTACAGAAAATAGGAAACTGTTTCTGAAACAGGGGAGGGGGACAAATAGCATCAACTTTTAAAAAGTATTTATTTAATTACATAGTGAGAACTAGCTTATCATCAGCAAAAACGAACTAATAAAATTTAATCTTACTGAAGTCTCCAGGAATGTTTATTACCTTAGCTGTTACCTCACCTCTGCATGAAGTACTATGAAGTGATATTATAGAATTTCTTGGAAAGCTGTCAGACCAGCAACAATCATGACAGAATCATATCTTTCAGATTTTTTAACTGTAATGTGAAATTGTACTTAAAG